GATGCAGATTGGTCTGGAGACCCAGACACATCTCGATCAACATCAGGGTTTGTCTTTATCACCATCCGAGGAGCAATCTCCTGGACAAGCAAAAGACAAAGCATGGTAGCTTTATCCTCCACGGAGTCAGAGTACATTGGATTGAGCAATGCTGGACAACACCTTGCATGGCTTCGGACTTTTTTTGAAGAAATTGGACATGCTCAAAATGGACCTACAACATTGCACTGTGACAATCAAGCAGCTATCATTCTTACACGAGATCCACAGTTCCGTGCTCGCACAAAACACATTCAACGGAAATATCATTTTATCCAAGATGACTTAGTATCAAAGGGAGAGGCAGTAATCAGATACATTCCTACAGGAGATATAGTTGCAGACATTCTCACTAAACCCCTCACTCATGAAAAACACTGGAAATTCTCTAAAGCTATGGGACTACGGTTGCACTCGAGTGGGAGTGACAAAACCGGATAAACCCGGTCTCTGCTGAAGCAGCCATTGTTCTCCTAGGAGCACAATTGTACTCCTAGGAGTCATTATACTGTAGCGAGTAGCACCTCCGACTATAAGTAGTAGGGGGTTTAGTATAGGAATACCTCAGTTGTTTCTATAGCCTCTCGGGCAGCAGCTGAGGTATGTTACATTACATTTATTAGAGATCACCTTAAACTAACATCTATTGTAGTTTCACTTAGGTAAATAGTAAAGTTGTTTCTATAGCCTCTTGGGCAGCGGCTGAGTTTCACTTAGTTTTATTAGTAAATTCGTAAAATACATCAACAATAACAGTGCAGTGCCGAGGAAGAATCTAGAGGGGTCAGAGTTAAACATAGCGGATTTCTTGTGCTTTGCGCAGCATGCACAATACAACATGACTGATGGCCTAGTGTTTCTCTCTGACTTCCAAGGTTGGTTTGTTCCGCTGTCCAATTTAAATGTCTTATGTAGACCAATCAGGTGCGGGTGAGCTTTTGACAGACTGCCAGGTTATCACAACACCGTAAGTTTTGCTGTTGATATTCAAACTCACTCATGTCATTGTGGTATTTTAGGGAGTATGCTAAAAGCTTCGGTGATGGCAACTGGACCCAGACGCTACATGACTTCCCTAAGAATCATATCTGCAACAACTACTGTTTGTCCTTGGGCCTAGTATCATTCTCACGCACTCCAGTATGTTCTTTACTTTTATTCTCACTTGTAACGTCTTCACTGACAGTTCTAGATGGACATGTCTATCTCAGTGTGCCAGTCTGATAACGCATAGAAGCCATTCATTTCTTGACAGATACATATTTCTTTTTTCCTTGTACCAAGCAGCACTGTCCGTCATGATTATCTTGGAATAAATTGAACTTGTGGTACCCAATCACTTGCTCTCTGATCTCGATCCCATACGCAAGACTTATCTTTTATAATCAATTTTAATATTCAAGTCTATCAGCTAACTATTTACTACGGAGATTTAAAATAGCGATGCCGAAGCTCGGAGTGATTAGAGTTTTCAACTGTAACCATCCGACCACTATAAGCACAGAGCTACCACGGTCGCATCAATTTGTTGATGGTTGGTCACATTATCACAGGAGGCAAACCATACCATATGGATTATATGGAGTTCTCTGAAAACCCCCCACCGCGCTTGCTCTCAGTCAGGCTCACCGTGACACCGGCCCCGAAAGCTAATCCGGCCTCTAATAAATCTTCCGGAGCAAACCAACCAACTTCCGCGACACGCATTTGCGATAACGATAACAAGGTAGATTGCAAGTGCATACATCATACATTGATACATACAGTCAACGAATACATGAACCTCGTTGGGAATAACCTCTTTCAGGTTATCCCAACTGCCACCAATAACAAAAGCTCCCATTAATACAAGGAAGACATAATTTGCAAGTAGCTTATTCTTTCTCAGGACGAATGGCCTGGCACAAAGGTTGTTTCTCCAAGTACGCAGCTGATAATAAGAGATAGTTGTGCCGAGTATCGTCTCCCTGGGTAAAGAAGGGAATGAGAAACGGTATTCATTGCACAACTAAAGCAGACCACTCACGATCATGGCATGAGGGAAGCCAGGATTGAATGGAAGGATACTTTCCAAGTAAGCAATCTGCTCAGATGAAAGTGAAATCTCAAGTGCCTCGATATTTGCTTCGAGTTGCTCGACCTTTCTTCCGCCAATGATTGGGAAAACGTAAGGCGTCTTTTGCATAACATATGCGATAGCAACTGTAGTAATCACAGTGCAGGTGGGTCAACGTTTGGTGCTGCGTCCAAGAAAAAACACAGGCCTACTTACCGGCAGTGATATGCTTCGCACCGACTTCCTGAGCCACTTTTTCCAAAGCTTTTGACATTTTCTTCTCATCTTCATTGCGCTCCCAGTTCGGGTTGGCGATTGTGCGACCCTTTTCACCAGTTTGTCGGCGACGTTCTTCCTCTTCATCGGTTCGGAATTTACCTCCAGCAATAACGTTCCATGGAGCCAAAGCAAGGCCTGTCCGTGAGAAAAGGGAGGAAAGTGTTAGATGATAATGACAAGGATAGCAAAGTTGCCTTTCGAAGTACTTGCCTTCAGAGCGGGCCATAGGGATGATGTCGCGCTCGAAGGATCGTTCCATAACATTCCACGCACCCTGGTAGATCACGAAGGGTGACTTCCCGTGATCGCGAGCATACTGATTGGCTTTGGATACTATCCAGGCTGGAGTGTCGGAGATGCCCTGTCGTAATAGGCACATGTTAGCGCATGTAATGTCAAACAAAGACATTCACTGCATACAAGGTATAGCACTTTCCCTTGCTGTACAAAAGTGTGAAGGCCGTCCATTACCTCTTCCACTGAGGTGTCATAATCCCACCAATGGACATAGAGAATATCGATATAGGAAGTCCTAAGCTTCTTCAAGCTAGCCTCGACACTGATATGCATTGCCTTGAAGCTATTTCCCGCGTACATGGCGTGTTGCTTGATGTTACTGTTTCCACGTTGAAAGTTTGTGGTATACTTAGATGCAGACGTGAGTTAATGGATAATGAATGTTAAATAGTGCATTACTTTTGTTGCGATAACGAGTTGGTCACGTATTCCGCGCTGTTCTGCCCATTCTCCAATGAACTCTTCGGAGCTTTGGTCTTGGCTGTAGGAATGAATAAACATCCAGAGTGAAGCAAGTTGAAGTAACAATACTTACTAGTTGTTAGCCGTGTCAATGAAATTGCCTCCGGCGTCGTAGAAAGCATCCAGGAGCTTGAATGAAGATTCCTTATTCATGCTCCCCATACCAAGTTTCTCCCACTTGTCACCGATGCTCATGCCACCGAGCTGCAGAGGAGAAACATGCACACTTGCTAGTGGAGACAAGGCACGATAGCGAGCGAGCCTGTTGGCTGGTTTAGCCTTGGGGACCCAAAATGTAGACATTGTTCAGTGATTTAGTAGACAGAGGTGATTTTGTTTGAAAATCTATCATGCCTCGTTAAATGTCCTTTTATACCCCCTCGAATGTCTTTAGTGCCCCCTTGATTGACGAGCCGTTCGAACTTGACTGACGCGTCGAACGGCCATCTATGTCCACGTAAAGAAAAGAACTAACCGGCAGTATGTCGAACCCTTTGAAATCAACTCACTTTCTAAGCGTTGTAGTCAGCTTCGAGTCACTCCAAAAGCACCGGTACCGAACTCGAGTTAGTATGTTACTGATAGAAAAACTCACTGATTGTATCTCACATTATTATTGCGCCCTTATTTTCTTTTGCTTTCCGGATGTTGTCCACAGCAGAGTCTACATGAATGGTTGTGAACGTGCATTTTGTTTCCACAAGTGAAATGCTGCAACCAACGACTCTATGCGGAATATTGGATGACCAGTCTTTAGGGACTGTCTCTGTCATCATGTATCTTAGAAACGTGCTTTCTGGGAACGCCCAGCGTCATATCACATTACTCACCTCACTTCATCTATGCTGTCTCTGGCCCGGTCGGACGCTGTTATCATTGCAAGAAGCATTCTCAGGTGTGTGGCTAGATCCCAACGTATAACAGTCACTTTGACAATGAGAAACCTTTAGTAATTGTCCGGTTTTTTTGAAAGTGTCAGAGTCATGTGATATAGATAAAATAAGCTAGTACTACCTGGAGAACCTTGACGGAAATGCCTTATCTGCGCTCGTTTGAGATGACAATTTCCCGCCAACGCCAGGAAAGCTGAGTGCTGCAGATTCGCATTGTCCAGAATGTACCCTATGACGGCAAGGCATGAGTCATTTGAGAAGAAAACAAATACTAGATAGGACGCGATGAGTTCACCAATTGGACACCAGGAAGATCTGGGTCAGTCACGGTGGTGCAAGGATTACTCATTAAGTATGACATCTCTTCTGGAAGATAACTGAGCGAATCTCTCCTTCAAACCACCAAGTACTCACCTTACCTCTTCAATACGCATTTGGACTGGGCTTATAGCACTGTTAGCTTCTGATGCCGTCAAGAAAGACCTGTGAATATCCCAGCCAAGAGACTTGAAACTAACGGCTTGAAATTTGGTGACAAGATTACGGAGACAAAGCAACACGACAGTGTACAACTTGAATATGATTATATGGAATTTCAGAAACCCACATTTACCGAGAGTGACGCGTACTGACGGCCACGCGCATATGTCCGACTTGGAGGCTGATCTGAGCTGCAAACCAATCGATACCACCGCTGCGACCGTATCCTCAGCCTGAGTGACAGTGGGTTCCAGGTCAGTTCATTTGAACAAGACATAGCCCATTTAGGATTTTCTTCTACGAAATACACAACTTGAAACGCTTTTAACTAGGGTGTAGCACGGGTGTACCCGTACGTCAGAAAATCAACACCGTACCCGTACCCGCCAACACCGCACCCTTCAAGGGTACGGGTACGGTAATACCGTTAGGACCCGCGGTATACTAGGGTATCCACGGTAGTGCAAATACCCGCGGGCTGAGGAACCAGAAAACGTTGAGATGAGCTGAAGCAATACAAATTTGAGAGTATCTACTGTACATCAATAGCCTCTGTCGTATCTAGCTTACGCTTTCCTAACTGTTTAATGATTTTCACAAGATCTGCACTCGAAATGAGCTCACATCGGAGCCATGAGCCCAGACAGAGAAAGGCTCGAGTTGAGGAAGGAGATAAGCGATTACGAGTAAAGTGAAGCAGCTGCCAGCCTTGGGAGAAAATCCGCTCTACAGCAGTTGAGGTTGCTAGAATGTTGCTCAGCATGAACAAGTATATCATGCACTTGAGGCTTACCAGGAATGCTAAGGTAGTTGAGTGCCATCCTATGCAAGTTCGGATAAGAGTGTTGATTATTCACCCACCACTTTAGCGGGTCCTTCGTCTTTTCAACAGGCTGGCATAGATATTCTTGAAGCTCGTCCAAGGACACACGCAGAGCTGGAGGGTATGATTGAAACATCTAACACGGTTAAAGGTGCTGAAGGAATTGTTTAGCTTTGAGAGTTTAGCTGTTTGTGTATCATTTGATGTCGCATTGTCCATGGTAACAACAAGCACCTTGATCCCTTATCAGCTGCTGATTGAAACAAGGGAGAACAAGGGACGATATTGTAAGAACCTTTTGCTCAAGACCGAAACGCTCAAGCATTTCCTGAAATGCTTTCGCCATAGTCTTTCCAGTGTGGGACTAAAATACACTCAATTAGATATGATTTATACCAACGTCGCAAACCCGGCATACCTTTGCTACTTCAATAATGTCAAGTAAGAAGCAAATCATCTGGCCATTGTACTCCAGATGAACGGTCCAAGCAATAAAAGCATGGTGATTCGGAGATGTCCATGCGTCTGTTGCAAAATGAAGGTGGCCAGGATGTTCCTGCAAAGGCAAGTCAATATTTGAGCGGCCACTGTCCTGAAGACATGAGAGACCTACTTGCAAAAGATTACCTATCTGCTCTTGGCATTTTTCAAATGATGCTTGTATATCACGTGAGATAGTAAAATGGGATGGCAGTTCAATATTTGGTCGCCCTGCAGATAAGAGCTCACGTAGAGCTCGATCATTGATGATGCGTGTGGGACGATTACTTTCTGTTATCCACTGCACAAGGTTTGCACTAATCGAGACATGACAGTAGCACTAGTTGATGGGGGAATGTAAGCTCACCGAACATCAGTGTTAGTGTGTGCTCTATGCGTATATTGTACTGGCTGTTGTCCTTTGCATGCAAATGCTGAGAAAATTGAGCCACTAGGAGGGTTTGCCTTCTGGCCACCGAAGACAGCATCAACTGTCTCTTGACCCCAACAGCCAATGGCATGATGCTTCAAGTTAGCGGTAGAAGCCTTATCCTTTGAGTCTTGGTAGCGACGAACACCACCTGCACTTGTTTTACACTTGCGAGCGCCAGGTTTTTTCGAGGGCCTCTACAGTATGAATTAGTGCTGTGCTCTCTGCTGCTGTCAAAACTCACCTAGTTGTACGACATGATCAGGTTTGGTAGCAGCTATTAGGGCATCTCCTTGAGGTTGGACTGAATCATCAATGCAGATTGGGCTGGCAGAGCGAGTTGACTCGGAAGGTTTAGAAAGTGAAGTTTTCACCTTTTTGAGTGGCCGAATCAGAAGTGTGATACTTTTTTTGACTGCAGTGTTTGCAGACTGTACGGAGGATGTAATATTTGAATGAAGACTAGAGGACTCAGATGTTGGATGGGACTTGGTTGAAGAGCCGTCACCAGCACCAGTACTGGTTGAAACTGTCAACATGTGGAATGCGTGTTAAATTTCAACTTCAGTCCAGCATTTATACGCACCTTATGCCAAGGTTTTCATCAACATTGTCTTGATGCTTCCTTTTACCGTAAAAGAGCAGCAAGGAAACTCTTCTTTTCTTTTAGATGAACATTGATGTCAGTGTTCCCATTTTTGAGCGTTGATTGGTACAAGACAGAAGCAAGAGGCAGGCGAAATCCGAATATCACAGCCACCCGTATCAAACCCGTATACCACACAAACGGGTACGGTGTTGCTGAGGGTATAGATTTTGAACACCGTACCCGTACCCCCCTAAACCCGCGGTGTGACCCATACCCGTGCTACACCCTACTTTTAACCAACAATAATGGACGGCCCAGTGACTCGGATGGTCCGCACTCAAACCGGTACTGCTAGTAGAGATGAAGCGTCGATGTAGCTCAGCTAGTTCGTATCCCTCTTCGTATTTTCAAGTCGCATTTTGCCTAATGTCCAGTCTTTTCCTGTACTCGATTTTGTCTATATGGATTCCTTCCTTCCTTATCCAGAAGCTAGAAAGTTTACTTCATCTCTGCCAGCCTTGAAAGTCAAGAAGAGCATGTATTCGTAATGTAAGTCAGAGGTAGTGGACCCGCTTTGTTTACAAGCACAAATTCAGATGCAAGCTAGGACCATCGCTAACAATATCTAGGCGCCACGATATCAAGCAGCTCCATAGCGTCTAGTTATCAGACACAGAAACTTGTTTCCATGTAGACATCACGATCACCTTGTGCAGCCCACGTGTGTGTTCGCTATTACTATCTATTGTTTTTTGTTCATCTCATGTACTTGCACGAATGTGGGGACCAAAGCGCACCTTGTGTGCTTCGCGCAGACGCCAAAGCGACCACACAACAATGCTATAAATGACGGAAAAATCCACTACCAAACTATAGTCAAGCTACGCGTTTCCTTCTTCACTACCAAGTTTTCTAGCACCGAATTTACATCCTCGGAGCCGACTGCATTGTGATAGCCTCACCATGAACCACTGCCACGACATAAATGCGGAGGCCATGCAACACGCGACCGGGCCACAGAAAGTGTTAGACGAGCATCTCGTCCAAGAAAATATGCTCTTACACCCTTCCCTCAACATTTGCTTCGCCATTGGTACCTACGAGCATGTCGTCGGTTACCTCGCATTATGCCAGGATACGTCCGAAAAGCTCTACAATCCTTCTTATGCACCAATGTACCATGTTCTTCCTGTCCGTCACCCCCTGGGACCAGCTCCACCGATCGTGATAACGTCCTGTGACATTGAAGATGGTCCGGACAGCAGTGCTGTGGATATCGACTCCGACTTCTTGAGCGATGTCTCCGATATGACAGATCTATCTCTAAGCGATCTCGGCGAAGAAGATGCCAAAGACATGGAAGCTCTCTTTGACGATATGCAAACATCCTGGCATCCCCAAGATGCTGATATAGATGAAAGCTTGCCCTTCTTGCTGCAAAGGGCTTACCAAGTTTTCGACTATTATTCGAGTACCTCGACCTGCGAGATAGAGGATGCAAACCAGGACTCATACGATGCCACAATTTACCTTTTCTCGACCGATGGTTTTCTCTCGCAGTGTACGACGGATGGAACTGGCTTGGAGCTGCTTTCATCTGGTACCATCGGGGCTTATGAGATCTAGCTCGCAATACCTTACCTTTTACATTTATATCGTATCCTTATCATGCACATTTCTACATAATGGAACTTCTTATTGCCCTTTTGTACACCTTGACATCATACCACCCCTAATATCCAGTGTACTAATTGAAGTCCATAACGCTGCAACTGATTCCCACTAAAATCGAGGCCATACTAATCATATGGAAATTAGGTATTGAATCGCTACTCTATCGGTATAATTGAAACAGTTTGAACAACAACGCAGCTCTTATACATACTCTCACAACACAAATAACAGAATGTTATAAAAACAATGGTATCTAAAACCTAAAAGAATGACGATTGTGGCAGTCCAAAGACAGTTCAGCGCTATACAATGTTCAGTGTCCAGTGCCGGCAGGATGATGAGATGCCGATGCGAAAGATGAGAACGGCTTGGGTTATCGAGGAACAAATATGGCGACCAGAACGATGAATGGGATGTAGGTGAACACAGATATGATCGACATAACACGACAACGAAAACGCCACGTCTTGGCATCTACACAGGATAATCAGCAAACTCGTGTAGCGGGTGACAGTGTTTCACGCACCGTGCTCAACTTGGGGATCATCGATCGTTACTGCCTTCTCTATTTCCGGTTCGCCAACTGTTCTTGTTTTTGGGACTCGAAAAAAAAGCGCAGCAATCCACCACGCTGGGAATAGTATAAAACCGATGAAAAATGCCCATGCATGGAGAGGTGAGCCAGGTTCATCTTCAGTCTTAAATCTCAGTGACCACTCAGTATCGTGAAGTTTTTTCGGTGGTCTGCGTGGATCGCGCATATGGAACTTGGAAGACGTGGTAATAGATGGAACGTGTGGCGACACGAGGGCACTAATTGGTATCGAGATTTGGGACATGCTACGACGACGGTCGGATGGTTGCCTTGCAAGAGATTGTGGGTTGTTTGAACGAGTGGACGCAGCATGCGAAGGTGCGCGGGGTGCTGGAAGTGCGCGAGAGCTGGTGTGGCTCGACCAAGAACCAAATTGGTTGGTTTGGGCCGATGTAGGTCTGGACTGAGAAGGAGGTGGGGGAGAGGAGAGTCGGGCTCGTTTGCGATGATAAGAAGAAGGGGCGTGCGATGATGATCCGCTCGCAGATATCCGCTGAGCTGGAGGGAATCAAGCACGAGTTAGAAACGTGTACAATGACATAACGTAAAAGGACCAACTTCTGCCTTCGGCGGGAATGACAAACGTTGCCCGCTGACCTTCCTTCTTCTGATCAGGTGGTGTAATATCCACCTCTTCTGCTTTTCGTTTCCCTTTTCCCTTATCGCTCATGGTCCTTAAAGGAGTTACAACGGTCGATGGTGGCTGTGAGGTTGACGATTTAGTAACAGAAGAGTGCCGGGAAGGAGTCTCAGAAATGGGCGACGCGAGCGATGCAGACTGTCGAGACTTTTGTATCAATGGTGAACCGAGCTTTTTAACTATGGAAGCTGCGGAGGTATCTTGTATCAATGCTGCTTGCCTTGCGGCCTGCGCATTTTCGACTTTTCCTGCTAACGCGGAGCTTTCCACACTAACAGCTGCTGCTTCATGTAACCTATCTTCAGTCATTTTGTCCCAGCTTGCACTACCGAAAAGAGCGTGGTGTGGACCCGATATAGGACCAATTAATTCAAGGTCTTCTCCACCTAAAGTACCACAGTGTAAGAAAGGTAAAATAAACCACGCGTCAAACATAAGAAGGACATACCTTGCAAAGAGAACACCCCTTCTGGACGAGAGGTGCGATGGTAAGAAAGTCGAGCAGGAGAAAATGATTCTGGTTCTGATACGAGTGCCTCAGGGTCGGTAGGCACGCTGGGACCACGTGGTGCTAGCTCCTTGTTTTTCCCGGAGGATGCCGGCCGAATGATGTTGCCGGATACACCGGATGCAGTCGCGGTATCACCTTGAGCGAGAGATAGTCTCAAAATCTCTCTGGAAACATCTGCCGGCCAGCTGTGATCACTTCCAGAGTTGACACCAATCGTAGCGTGATGAGCACACCAGTCAGCACTGGAACGCCTTTTAAGTTTGAATCGACCAGATATAGTCCTGGCACGAGAATGCTTTCGCGTGAGCTCGGGTCGGTCCTCGAGAGGAGAATCAAATATTTCATGGGCACCTGGAAGACTTGTATGATGACGAATTGAGCGCTCAAACGTCTTGGATAACGGGGGAATAGCATTTTCATCTCCTGATAACTTCTTAAAACGAGCAGGAAGCGTTTTCGAGTGGCCAGCCTGACGAAGTGGTATACAAGACTGAGATGCTTTAGGGACATCACCGGCGAAAACTCTTGGCTGGAAAGATAATACATTGGTCAATTCCGGATGATTGAGGGGAGGCAGTGGTGGTGGAGGGGAAGGGTGCGCGAATATAAATCCGGAACGAGTATCAGGAGGAGTCGGATAACCGAAAGTGCGGGGAGAATCAAAGTTATACTCCTGAGAAGCAGGGGTGGACATCTGCACAATGTAGGATCTGGAAGACTGCACTGTAGGAGCTGTATTCGAGCGAGGCCTGCTCGGTGTTCGTGGGAGTCGTTTCGATGAAGTCGTTGGTGATGAACGTTTACTATCGGCAGCATTCTCCATTGATGCACCGAATGAATCTCTGCTTTGGTTTCTTGACGGTAACTGAGACTCATGGGGGGCAGTGGATGGACGGGACGGATTGGCTGAACGATTAGCCGTCATGGTAGAGCGAATGCTCTCCGCGGTACTGGGAGCTTTGCTCCTCTTGTTGCTATACGTGCGTCGTAGAGATGGAGAATATGAATTCCGTATCCGAGACTGTCGTGGAGAGCTCTGTTCAGAAAATTCGCCAATCTTGGGTGTCTGTCGATCTTTATGTCTACCAAAAGTAGACCATTCACCACCGGACGAGAATTGCGAGATACGTTCGGCAAATTTCATCTTGGTTGGAGCCGATTGTACCGCCGAACTCGATGTCTGTGGTTGCGCCCCCTGTTCGTCCGCTTCAAGGGTACTATCAAGAGGTGGCTGAGGGCGATTAAAATGAAATCCCCTGTTGCTCCCATCTACAGAGTGCCGCCGATTGGGAGTTAAACCGCGGATAACGGGTTCCCCTTCTGATTCCAAGTACGAATCTGGATCCTCTAATATCTTACGGTTGACGGTGAATGCTGAGGGTAGTTGGGTTGGAAGGCGAGTCTCTTGGGTTCCAATGGGAGTAACCGGAACTGCAGCGGAACTAGAAAGCGAAGATACTGTGGACTGACTAGTAGCGCGAGTCCGAAGACGTGACAAGAATGAAGGCATGAGTGAACACTTTAAAGGTCAAGAATCGCTATAAAACGCTGTAGTCAACCGCCAGAGCATCTCAGTTGGTTGATAACACTCACAATCAACTCCTGTAGGCCACGGAACGTCAATATGACATGCCGAAGATAGGGGTGGGTACAGTATGGTATTAGATGCTAAACTGTGTGGGATAAACGAAAAGTCGTTGGATGCCTCGTGAATCTCGTCAGAGCCTTGCACAGAGAGCACACCGCCGATGTTTTCCCAGTTGTCAAAGGTTAAATACTTGGTGATAACTCGGCTAGCGTGCAGCGAAAATAAGACCCTTTGATGGGCTTCACCAGATGGCAGAGACAGAAAGTGTGTTCCGCTGTGCTTCTTTGCGTTCGAAGCTGATATCGCGGAAATATAACAGATCACGTGGATGTTATATCTTTTATTAACCTTTATTATGTAACATTATTCGCACGACACTGCCGCCTTCCACGCAGTCACCGAGACACTTCCTTGGTTCAGACCAAGTTCAGACTTCAACTTTTCAAGGCTTCAGCTGAAGAACAAGGTTGTCATTGCCCAACATGGATCGTTTTGACTCCCTCACCAGTACCTTGTCCAACCTGACAATGTATGATATTAAAAGCATGTATAACCAGGTATGTTGCGTCACGTCTGGCGGCAAAAAACACTGACCCTCATTTGACTGCAGGCGAAAAATGTAGTACTCAACGTCAGTGAAATGGAGGCAAAGGTTAGGGAGGCAACGAATGACGAACCGTGGTAGGTGTCAAAGATACTCTATTGTCAGCTATCAGGTCAAATCAGTATGCAGGGGTGCCAGTTCGACCTTAATGCAGGACATCGCGCAAGGGTATGTTCCTCAGGCAAGCTAGTGTTCACCGCTGACCTGGACGAAAAAACCTATAGGACCTTCAATTTGTAAGTACCCTGAATTCAGCTGGCATAACATGACCAATCTTGACACTTGCCTGAAGCCAAAACTTTAATGAAATAATGCCTTGCATATATGCACGATTTATGGAAAAGGAAGCCCGACAATGGAGGCAGATCTACAAAGTAAGTACCGTGTCGAACGATAACAATGAATTTTAGACTGAAACATATGGGAACAGGCCCTTCAACTGCTTGAGTATCTAGTCAAGCATGGTAGTGAACGAGTAGTCGACGATGCACGGTCTCATGTCTCCACCCTGAAGATGCTCAGAAACTTTCATTATATCGACGATAAGGGCAAAGATGAGGGCATCAATGGTCCGTGAAGTTTTCCATAGATTTACCTTTTTTATCAATCTATGTCGCAGTACGGAATCGCGCTCGGGAGCTTGTCGAGCTTTTATCGGACGTCGAAAGCATTCGTACAGAACGTCGCAAAGCCAAAGCTAATCGGCATAAGTACACAGGGACAGGCAATGATGCGATGAGCTTTTCCTCCGGTGGCAGTCGTTATGGTGGCTTTGGAAATGACACTTTAGGTGGCGGGGGCGGTGGTTCTTACGGGGACCGAATGAGTGGAGGCGGTTTTGACCGAGGTGAGTCTGTGAATGGACGATTTTCTGCCCAGTTTATCATATCTGGTGCCTCATAGAATATGGTGGATCATATTCCGGAGGCGGAGGCTCAGGGTTCAGAGATAGCGTAGGAAGGCGGGACTTTGAAGAATATAGTGCAGGAGATGACGAGACAACGACTCGCAGGTCTAACTCTCTATCGCAAGCTCCACGATCCAGTACTTCTAGAAACACTCCTCTCAGGACTTCAAGTACACCTACTGCCCCACCTCCGAAGGCCAAAGAGCCCGAAGTAGATCTACTGGGTGGATTTGACGATGAACCTTTGTCCACTGGCGTGTCCAATCTTGCTACTAACAAGGCTTTACCGTCTTTACAGAGTGCAGCTACGACAGAAGGTGATGATGCCTTTATTAGTGTTGCCTCTCCTGGTATTAACTTTTCAACTAGTTGATGACGATTTCGACGATTTCCAAGCGGCACCAATGTCTCCTGCTGCTCCCGCTCCCGCCCCTGCCCCCGCTGCAAAGGCGACCCTTAGGGAAATGCTCAGCCCAAGCCCTCCTATATATACCCGCACTGTCGTATCTCCAACGGCTCCGATATTCAGCTCACAGCAGCCATTGCAGGCTGCCAAGCCCGCCTCACCTCCTGCCTATGGCAATCAGTCGTTTGGCATTATGTCTCCCACTGCTAATCGCCAGTCTTTCTCGTCGCCTATGGCACCTACCCAGAACAAACCATTCAATGCGTCTCAGCCATTATCGCCCACTGGTTCCGTTCAATCCCGTTTTTCCGCAGCTCCTGCTCCTGCTCCTGCCAAAGCCAACTCAAACTTCGACGACTTATGGACCATGTCCCTGGGATCTCCGACTGCGAGTACGAATAACAAATCAGGTGCTGGAAGGTCGATGAAAGACTTGGAGAAAGAAAAGGTACAGGCTGGTATCTGGGGATCCGCACAGAGATCGTCGCATTCTGCCACGGGATCTATATATGGGAATTTCGGAGGAGTGACAGGAGGAGCTGCTAGTGGTAACAATTCTGGTACTTCTAAGGCTTCTGGTGGTGGATTAGACGACCTTCTGCTTTGAGATTGTAGACAGTGTAACCTCGTTCAAATATCTCGGAATAGTTTACATAGATAGGAGGTAGTATGACATTTACAATTTTACATAGTTTGCCTGTTCCCGGTCCGCTGCGTTTGAGACTGGTGTATAATTCAAGCCAAAGCTTTTGTCAGGTGAGCACCTTTGTGTCAATGTGGTCTTGTGTGTGTAAGAGATTTGATGGGGGCACTGACCTGAAGCACATGAATTGCGTGAGACATATGGGCGCTAGAATGGGTGCCTTTGTGTACCTTTTCATTTTAGAGGTCCATGTCTACACTTTTCACTCGATTGACAGGAACAAGCAGTCCCGTCCACGGCATTGCCTGGTTCATATGTTCCACTCATGCGTCTTGCAATCTTATCTGAGCCTCGATGTCTGACTTCTGTATGGCGAATCTGTACGGGTCAAGTTGAGCGTCCGATAGGTTGCCTGGGTATCACGCGGTCAATAATTTCGTTCTGATGGCCAGCCTTCGTTTGCATGGTTGCGTCGTGACTTCATATATATTGGCCAAGGCAAGACATGTTAACTTTTTTTCTCTAACCAGAATTGCTGCTCGAGTTCCACGATGGCACCCAAGCTCGTCGTTGTGCTCACTGCCATCTTGGCGGCCTCTGCCCCCGTTTATGCGTTATGGCCTCTGCCCCAGAATTTAACCACTGGTTCTGACGCCCTCGTCGTTGCCTCGGACTTCTACATAGACCTGTCCTTCAACAATGCACCCTCCGACCTCAAGAGTGCCGTTTCTCGTACTTCGTCGTTCTTGGCGCACGATAACCTCGGTCGTCTTATCGTTGGACGTGGTTCGTCTGATGCAGCGGCCATTAAGTCTGCCAAAGAACTGTGCAAACTGACCGTTACCTTGGATTCGGGAGCTCCTAAAACTCTTCGAAGCGTATCTGAAGAGGCCATGGATGACATCGAGGAGCGCGACGAGGCGTACTCCTTGAGCGTTCCTTCCGATGGCTCTGCAGCCATCCTCAAAGCCAATTCCTCTCTTGGCTTGTTCAGAGGTCTTACCACATTCTCTCAACTTTGGTACGAGTATGATGGCACCACCTACAACCCAGAGGCTCCCATCGAAATCACTGACTGGCCTCTTTACGTGCGTCACATTTTAAAACACGTCGAGGTGGTGGTTTCAACTGACATTGTTCTACTAAATTCTGCAGCCGTATCGTGGATTTATGTTGGACACCGCTCGCAACTAGTTAGTACTCTTGATTCTAAGAAAGTAGTGAGATTATGAACCTTTGGACTGTAGCTTCCCTGTTTCTGATATCAAGCGTCAAATCGATGCTATGAGTTGGGTCAAGGTTCGTTTAACTTATTTACTGAGAGTACCTCCTTTCAACCAATTATAACAGATCAACACCTTCCACTGGCATGTAGTCGACAGCCAAAGCTTCCCTCTGGAAATCCCTGGTTTCGAACAGATCGCAAGCAAGGGAGCATACTCGTCAACGAATGTATACACCAAGTCGGACGTTGAAGATATCATTAACTATGCCGCTGAGGTAGATTTCCCCTCACGTTTTTTCAAGTTCATATTCTAATTCTCTGTATACTAGCGTGGTATAGATGTCATTGCTGTAAGTTTGTTATCATACTCAGATGGGCTTCTTTCACTCAAGGCTTTTTTCCTGTAGGAAATTGACACGCCAGGTCACACTGCGATCATCGCCGATGCTTACCCTGAGCATGTCGCGTGTCCTCAATCCACCCCATGGGCCACCTTTGCCAATGGTACTGAAATTCCTCTCAGTTTCTTTTAGCGCTCGCTCTTATTGCCCTTATTAAGAACCTCCTGCCGGTCAACTGAGATTTGCTGCACCTGAAACTGTCAACTTCACAGCTGAGCTCATTTCCGCTGCTGCGAAGCTCTTCCCTTCCAAGTATTTCAGCACTGGCGGTGATGAAATAAACCAAGAATGTTACACTCAGGATGCGCAGACGCAGCAGATCCTGAACTCGACTGGTCAGACCTTCACCGAAGCACTGAGCACGTTCACCAAATCTTCACATGATGCATTGGAAGAGCAAGGCAAAACACCCATTGTTTGGGAAGGTAAGGTCGATGTATTCTTGGCGAAACTGTGCTGATATTTTCTTAATTGACAGAGATGGTCCTCGACTTCAATGTTACTACGCTGTCGAACAAAACCATTGTCATGTATGCGTCTTATGTTTTATCAAGACCTATAACTAACCTCATACTTGGTAGGGTTTGGATCTCCTCTGATGATGTTGCAGCTGTAGCACAGAAAGGATACAGACTTGTTCACGCCGCTTCTGACTACTTTTACTTGGTTAGTTCGCCTCGTTCATCTGACTTCACCCGGCTGATTATGTGTGACGACAGGACTGTGGAGGAGGCGGATGGGTTGGTAACAACCCAGACGGGTAAATATTCAGAGGTTATGGTAAATACAGAATCAATACTGATACTTATGTTCTTCTTATAGTAACAGTTGGTGTGACCCTTTCAAGACATGGCAGAAGGTCTATTTCAAATTAACTCCACCTGAGACGCGATCACTGACTCTTGAACATTCATCAGTCTTATACCTTCGATATAACTGCAAACTTAACCGAGGCAGAAAGCCAGCTCGTGCTCGGTGGTGAGTAATTGCTCAGTCTTCTTTGCAACTCGCAGGAAATAATGTTGGGCCATACCTACCTCTAGGCCAACACCTTATTTGGACTGAACAGACGTCACCTCATAACATTGACCCCATTGTCTGGCCTCGTGCTGCTTCGTCGGCTGAGCTGTTCTGGTCGGGTCCTGGCTTGAATGTCAGCGCAGCACTGCCCCGCCTCCACGACGTGGCCTTCAGAATGTCGAACCGTGGCGTCAAGGCCATCTCTCTCCAGCCGCTGTGGTGCGCGTTGAGGCCTGGACTGTGTGATCTGACTGCTTGATCCCATGTAAAGTTGAAATGCAATGGAGGACCTGGACCGAATCTAGTCTATGCTACTATCTATTTCTTTTCGCTCCATTATAAAACTTATTGTGGTTATATTGAAGTATTAATGGCATATAATATTCACTAGGATGGCGCATGAGCGCCCTCTTGGATTCTAAGAGATAATGAGTAAACCGTCTGCCTCACACGCATACGCCATTTTTAGGGTAAAAAGTGAGAACACCTGGAAGAGTGGTAGATCCATGAAAAAACGAAACCACTTTGATACAAACCACACCTACCAGCCACTTGAGCATAGAAACGCCTAGTATTACTTCCCAGTTGATGGATGAAATAATGACTATTCATCATCCATATCAAGGTCACCTTCAACACCGGCACCTTCTCCCGTATCGTCAAATATCACTTCGTTTGCGTCATATACTTCTTCGCCCCAACCTTGTTCTTCTTCTCTATATACTTCAGCCTCGCCTGCAGCGGGCGGATGCGATCTCTCGGAATACGAGAGACCAGGCGACGCGTATGGAGCATTCAGGGATCTTCGCACAGCCGAGAGAATGTCGTCCATTTGTTCTCCGAGCCGATCTTCTAGTTCCTCGACAACCTGATGATAACACTATTGAGCTGGCAAGATCTCACGCCCAAACACATTGTCCACATACAACATAGAGCTCGACGGGTTCAGTTGGAGCGAGATTCACGATTTGCAGCTTCTCAGCCTTTGTAAGTGAATACGGTGCAAGATCACGAGTAAGCTGTTTTATGCCAGCTTCTGACTGTTGCGCGATTGGTTGGTAATCTGCACTGAGATACTGGATGGCCTGGGTGTGGTCTCTGATGAATAGGAAAGGTAGCATATGAGGAAAAGAACCTCACCTCAACTTCCACAGTCCTCAGATTCTCGCTGATATCCACTGCCGCTGGATCTGATCCACCCTTTCCTGTAACCCCTGCACCGTCCTCTTCCTTCTTGATTCTGACGGCAGTTTTTGCTCGTGAGAGATAATCGTTGTCGAGCTCACGAAGCAGCGAGAGGACTTCATAGTTAGATAGAAATGAAGCCCTTGGATTAAGTACCTAACGACCGATGAAGGGAATAAGAGAAAGACGCAGACGACGAAAACCGTCGACGAACCTCCATAGGATGATATATATCCTGAGGAAAGGGCGGGGTCCTGTAAGGTTAGGGTTTGCCGTGGCGGGGTGAAGTCCAAACAAACGACAATATCAAAGGAGAGCTCCCCTTCCAGCGAACTAGCCAATTCCAGGAGATTGTAAAACAAGCATCCAACCCGTCCAGGTGAGCTGAATGTCTCTTTTCGCCAGAGAAAAACTGTCAGGGAGTCTCAACGCTTTTATTCCAGCTTTTGTTACGCCATATATCTGAAGAATAGCCATGAATCGTCCAGGTATGAGGCCACTTCACTTCCCGTGCATATGAAACACCACATCTCGTTTGTATCTCCTCAGGTCAACCCCCACAAAGACCACCAAGTCTTGCACCAAACCCCGGAATGGCAGCTCAGTTCCGTGGTCCTTATCCGCAATTTGGCATGCCACCAAGGAATGTAAATGTTATGCAGGCAAACTACGGTCCTGGGCTGCAGCCAAGCAACCACCGAACGTCTGCCCAACAACAGAATATCATTCCACAACCCTCTCCCGGCTTTCTTCAGCAACGGACCCAGAACAATTATCCTTTTGCGACAGGACTCCTTCAGCAAGGACAAAGAGACCAACCAACACCACTTCAGCAACATACAAATAATCCTCCCCAATCACAGCAACCACTTCAGGCACAACAAGCAAACGGAAACTCCACTTCTCTATTGCCTCAGCTACCTTCAAGCGCGACTACTCCGAGTCTCGCGGGAACAGCACCATCGGTCTCGTCTGCCAGCGAAGTGGGGTTAGACCCAAACGATTTCCCAGCGCTAGGGTCAACGGCGCCCACTGCTACGTCATCGAATAATAATATATCGAACGCAAACAACAGTGTTGTAACCAGCTATGCGAGTCAGGCGGGGACGGGGGTGCCTCAGGGAGCGGCGGTAGTGACAGGAGTGGTGGGGAGTCAACAGCGGGATTTCACCCCCGATGATTTTCCTGCACTTGGTGGACAACCACAAACCCAAAACCAGAACTCTACATCGCATCCACAGCCGCCGCAACAGCAGAATCAAACTCAGGAAAACCTTTCGCATTCTCACCCACCAGGACTTAATGGGTTCCAACATAGTGATCATTCGCAGCAACAACACCGACAAAACCTGTTAGGCTCTTTATCAGGGGGTCAGCAACCTAATACTCCAGGGATGCTCAATTTGAGTGCCAGTCAAACGCGAGGAATTCATACCGGCTTTCAGCAACCACCGAGTGAAGCGGAAAAACAACGGGTAAGTGCCGTTCAAATTTATCTTCGAATCAACCTTGGCTATTCACACAAACTTGCAATGGAACATAACATCTGGCTTATCTTGGCTTGTTGCAGCAAAACTATGCATTGAAGCTTAACCAGGCGTCCCATGCAGCTTGGAACTCACCTAATCCAAGCGCTCAGGGTCAAGCGGCAACTGGGAATCCATTTTCTAACTCATCATCGGCAACGGCAACAGCGCTTCAACAAAATGGAACGCACCAGTCTCAGTCTCAGAATCAGAGTAGTGGGCAGTCGCAATTACAATCGCAGCCACACTTAAATGCACCTCCGGGCGTACCACCTCCGTCTGGTTCTTTTGGCGCTCAACAGCACCAACATCAACCATCATCGGGGATGCTAGGCACAAACGCAGCAACGGCGGGTGCAGGTACAGGAGTTACATCAGCTTCAGCCCCATATGCATCGAACGGAGTACCGTTAACGCTAGAACACCATCATCCACAGACACCAGCACAGCAAGTACTGATGAGTGCGGCCGATCGGTGGGGACTACTGGGTCTGCTTGCGATGATTAAGAACGCGGGGATTGACTCGGACGGTGGTTTGAGTAGTGTAGGCACAGATTTGGGGACAATGGGTTTGGATATGGGTTACTCTGGGTCAGTTCCTCTTTGACTTGCATTCGTCCACGTCATTACAACTATGCTCCGTTATTTTACACGGCTTCCTCCATCTTGTCCATGATATTGACACGCTGTAATTCAGGAACCTGTATTCAACTTTCATAACTCCCTGGGCGGATCAATCAGCCGCACATAGTGTTGAGCCTGATTTCCATCTGCCTGCATGTTACAATGTACAACCGCCTCCACCAGGGCCAAACAAAGCTGCGGCTTTTAGCGACGAGACACTGTTTTTCATGTTCTATTCTAGTCCTCGAGATGCACTCCAAGAAGTTGCAGCTCAAGAACTGTGTGTATACCTTTTATCGTAAGGTTGCACCCGCTTATTGGTTCTTCGTGTTTAGATGGAACCGGAATTGGCGTTATCACAAGGAACTTAGGTTCTGGATTACCAAGGAAAGTGGGACATCACCCTCACAGAAGGTCCAGGGAGGAGAACAAGGAACATACACCTTCTGGGATCCGGAGAATTGGGGCAAGGAGCGCAAAGAAATGACAGTTCTGTATGCGGACCTCGAGGAGAAGAGTGTACCTGTATTCCAGCCAGGGCCAGGCCTTGTGCTGGCCCAACAACCTCCGCAAGCGCAAGCGCAACAGGTGCAGCAGCAACAGCAGGTAGGGCGAGGGTCTTTCCAGATGGGGCTGTAACTCCATTGAGAAGAGACGTTGAGAGGGGATGAATCGCCAGTTTGTCTCATTTCCGAGAGAGCCTGAGCTCGTGTTTATGGCATTTTTTCACCCTTCATTATATTTGATTGTTAAGAGCAATTCAACTACCCTTTGTTGACCTCCTTCGCGAGTTTCGAACTCTTGTATCTGTAATTTGCTCCTTATTCCCTTCTATCTTCGTTTCTTACTAGTCTCCCCGCCCATCTGCAAGGTGTCTTTGATCAGTTATCTCGTTCAGTATGAGTCAATATTCATTTCCCTCTGCAGCTGCAGAAGTTACTGAGCAATCTGTCGTCTGGGCTTGTCACAAAAGATGCCGGGGTGTCTTCCAAGTTAGAACCCAGTCATGTACACTGAGGAGATGATCGACGATTCAGATGCTATCATATTGCACATAAGTCCGCGAGATCGTTTACGGCCCATCTATGGCCTACATAGCACTCAAGTCGGTCTTCAAAAATCACTTTCAAAGGAGCTGTCCCATTTCCCCAAAATCACTCTGAATCCTGTTTTTCCTCCCAGATACATCTCTACTATCTTGTTGAAGCTTCCGATTTGTTGCAGGCAGAAGCACCAAGTTGTCTCGTGAACTGAGAACTTGATATGCCTACTACAAACTCTGAGTCTGACTTGGAACCGCTGGCAGAGCTACCTCGCCTGGCTACCACAGGACATGCAACTCACTGTAAAATGTGTCTGGCTGGTTTACCAGCCGGACAGGTCGATATAGATTCATCAAGGTATGTACCAAGTTACTTCTTTAGTCCGTGAGTACGTCTGACTCTCAGGCTTTGTCACCGCAATGATAGACTAGCATTGGTATTTTATTGCCTGGGGTCTCTGGACTTGTTGGACATCATCAATAACAAGACAAATAATGACGAACGTCAGATGTGGGTGAGCTGGGTTTGGGAGCAACAGACGAGTTTGTATATTTTATTATGCATTTCTCTTTGGGGCATCGAGGGCCATTGTCGACGGTCGGTTGACATACTGGCATAGGTGGGCCGTATGGTTCTGGATTCAAGCCGGGTCCATATATGACACCAGAAAAGCACCTGGGAGTCCCGGTTAGTATTCGCTCCCGATTAGCACCTGATCTTCCTAGTCTGATAGATAATTACTATCAAATTTCAGGACAATGACTATTCAAATGATAACAGCCCCCACATCATTGTGACCTACACAGCTCTACTCTGTCTGGCAATACTACGTGACGACTTCACCAGACTGGATCGTTCAGGCTTGATCAAATTCCTCCGCTCCTGTCAAAAAGATGACGGAAGGTGAGTGTTTGTCGTTAGATTTGTGTTTGGCATTTAAACGCCCGTACAACAACAAGTTTTTCTACGGAGCCTCTTGGGGGTGACTCGGATCTTCGGACGGTATATTGTGCATTTGCAATCAGCAGCATGTTAGATGATTGGTCCGGAGTAAATGTCGACCGTGCGTTTGGGTTTATTGCATCATGCAGGGTGAGTACCGCAGTCAGTTCAGTAACGTTTATCAATAATTTCTTTTTCCTAGTCGTATGAAGGAGGTTACGGACAATCCCCCTTCTGCGAAGCTCAAGGTGCGCTAGACTCAGTGGGCAGCCTCGTATTAATAGTCATAATGGTTCAGGGGGGACTACGTATTGTGCACTTGCATCAATGCATCTCGCCAACCGATCCTTTCTCCTAATCGAGCACTTGTCTGCTTCGGAACGCCGTAATACTATCCGATGGCTTATACAAAACCAAGACGGGTCTGGTGGCTTTTGCGGGCGCACAGGAAAAGATGCAGATGCGTGCTACTGTTTTTGGTGTGGTGCCTCTCTCAGTGTAAGTCATATTTGCCCTTCTTCCTAGTATGGCCTCGTGGTTGGCTGTGTCGTAATATTCATCCATCACTCTTTCGCTTCGATCGGATCCTCTTAGATTCTGGGCGTGGGTGAATTGGTCAACACGTCTGCTCTTGCACGTTTTGTGGCATCTTGTCAGTTCAAATTCGGCGGGATTGCCAAAGCGCCGGGAGAGCATCCAGGTAAAATTTTGTTGATCATCATCGAAAGAAAGGTCCTCGAGGACGGCTAACAAATCACTCAGATCCGTTTCATACATATCTGGCTCTAGCGGCGCTATCTTTGCACCCACCACAGCAAGACGTGTCTGCACCGTCGTCCTGGATACTGCAGGCCCTCGACCCTTTGCTGAATACAAAGCAAGACACGGCAGCCTGGGCAAGGCAACACATTCCTGCTCCCGGTAATTAATTAAAGATTTCTGGACCAATCCGACGCATTTTGATACATTATTGGAACGTATTCATACCATGCTACCCCTGTTGTATCTCTACTTCCTTTATCGGTTCGGACCCTCAAACACCAACTATTATGCGCACTTTCCAATACATATATCCATCCCTATAAGTGCAAGATAAAACTCGACTGCAAATTTATTGCTGAAACGTCCTTTGTGATTGACCCTGGGCCTGCCATTGGGAGATCATAGCCACAATTTCCTATAATTTACAGGAATCAGATGAGGTAGACCGCTGGAGTACAGTAACATTACCTCCGTCCAACTTTGTATGGCCGATTTGTGGAAGTTATGCCCCACTACGCTCGCGTTGTCAGAGACAGAGCTTGCTCTCTGCGTGAAGCTCGCGATAAAATCGCGCATCAACTGATAACTTTCGGCAGTATGCCATAACGTTTTATTTGCATGGAGCAGGAGCGCATGTATTGCATATATATGCTCGACGGCGGAAAGCTTCGCCAAAAGCACGGATAGACAGTGATGCACAGATGCTTGGTTTATGAAGTGTTGGGAAAACAGATCTCCGACGAAGGCGGCGAAAGCGAGCGCAGAAGAAAGGCGTGACATGGAACAAGGCTTGTAAAGCGCAATAGCATCCGGCCTGTCCTGTAAGAGGGGAAAACTAAGTCAGCATCAGACGTCTAACAGAACTTCAAGATCCGTACAGAGTTCCAGTTGGACATGAACAGATCGAACGCGCTGTCGCGAAGGTGGAAAGCAAAGCAGCCGGCTTGCCATTCTCCGAATTGAACTTTGAGCTGGACATACACTGCACGGGCAAAAGGAGCTGTCCCATTAGGATGTTGAAGTCCCTCTGAGACCTTCAGGCAGAATTGCTTTGCAAGCTTTTCAAGTGCGTCGTATGTCCAATCGACATTGCGTAGTAAGGAGCACGCATACTGTAGGTGCAGCTGAGCATCTGTGGTAGATGCACCTGCTGCGAAAGTCGCAAAGCATGGTGGAATGTTGGGCTCGGCGGGCCTTGTAACGACTGTCGGGAGTCCGTGACGAGGACCTGGGCGATATGCCGCGGGTTCTGTAGACGCTGGTACGAATGGGACCGCGTTCGGATTGAAGGTACGGTTCGGGTGCAATGGTATTTGAAAATATGATTTCGACGAATAAGGGACAATTTGGCTAGGGGTTGTAGGATAGCCAGGAGCTTGGAGTGGGGTATCGCACGTCTCATTTGGCAAGGAGCCATCCACGATAGAACGCCACCACAGTTCTTCATGAGGCCCAGGGGGAGGTAGAGATGTGCCTCTTGAGTGGACTTTGGCAGTATCGGCAGTTTCTGGGAATGATAAGTCGTCTTCGAAGTCATTCAGAAGGGTTGTGCTGCTACTGCAAGGCGAAGACGTAGAATTAGATGGAGGGGAGTGGACTAGACTGTATATGTGTCGAATGCAATGCTTGTTATCCTGGTAGAAAGGGTCTGTATGTGGATGAGCAGATAGATTATTCGAAGGAGGCTCGAATATTTTGTTAAGCTCTGATAGCAAAGCAAAGTCGTAGTTAGCCATCTTGAGAGAAGTTTACTGGCGATATAGAGGGATTCTGTGTTGAGAAATCCTGGTGTGCGATGGACGGATTTATATGGTGAATATCATGATATGGTCTAAGCGCATGGGACGATAAGAGTGCTTAGATACAATAAGCAGCTTTGGCTTTGACAATGTTCGACACAGAAGGTCCACGACCTTGACAGCAAGTTTATTAAGCAAAGTATTGATACAATAGGACGAGTACTCTGAGTAAAGCGAATGTGAGACTGTATTACTATCCGGGTCGAACATGATAATACGACGCACCATGTAACTTTACAACGACGTCGAATCTACAATTGCTCCTCGTAGCAACACAACAAGATGCATAGACAATAACGCTGAAAGGCGATCACACTGGTACTACTATTAGCTTGACTCGCCGGACTTGGAACCTGACAGAAAAGCAAAGGCGTCACTTGACCACGGGCAAGTTCCGGCCAGGCAGGCACGTGACAGCAAATACATGCACGTGATGTTCACGTGATGCATGATCGACCAAAGCTTCCGCCGTGTGGTACTAGCTCCGATGGATTCGTCGTAGACATCATTTGACACAGTGATGGCCGCAGTGGCAGGGCAGAGAGTATCATGTCAGTTCAGACACCCTATGTCCCTTACAGTGCCTTGCCTTATCACTTTGCAGCTATCGGCATAATACGGTGTCCGACCTCGAGGTTAGCTGGAAATCCACGACGATTGATTTAAGGCATTTGACAATCATATCACAGCGACCATCATGACACAACCAAGCATTTCCCATAGGAAGACAACTGTTATACAGCTCCAAATTATCAAACTATAGCACGGAGGCTGGACCATGACTGGCGCTCTCTTGGCGTCAGGTCGTAACTGGGCGAGGCCTTTATCGACTGGACCATCTAATGAAATTTCGCAGAGACCCTTGTACGCAACGTTTTCCCAACTCCGTATTCAGGAAATTCGCACCAAGAGCGTTAGGCCATCAGGCCCACAGGTGTACAGCTTTCGTGTGGATCAACACGGATGTATATTTTCCCTCTTTTTCTAATCCGTCAAATCGAATCTCAGCATTCCAATGGTATACGTAGATTTGTGCTAATAAAATCTTTGTATTCATGGCACCGCCTCTCAAAGCTACATATATACTTCGAGATGTTGATGGGCAGCACAAGTATCTCCGCCTCTTCTTCATTCTCCTGTGATTACAACCCACGTTTGTCTATTTCTTTCCTCCGTGTGCCGACGATAAACTAATCCCTACCTCCTGCAGTCAAACTAGTGAGTCTACCGACCTCCTCGAATGGCCACTATCCTTGAGATATTCGGCTCGTCACACCAAGAACACAAAGTGCCATCTTGTCGTGATTGGCAACTCAAGCCGAATCATCATGACCATCAAGGAGGACAGAGATACGTCAGTCCAACAACAGGCAAATGCAAGAAACTCGTGGTGCAGTCGGTGTTTCCGAAAGGAGATGAAGTCAAGGTGAACGATCAATCAGCAAAGTCTAGCAAGCTTGCTGTATGGCTCGTGGAAAACCCCCCAACATCGTTCGAAGACATTCTCCAGTGGCTTGGGAGATGGGCTTGGTTCGCTCTCGCTCTTATCTGGCCTTTCGATAGGCCGGAGTATACTGGGCATTACAAACCATACCTCCTCAGATACTGGGGTCAGTTATGGGCCGCTCGTTCCCCTAAAGAACACTCTACTCGCGTCAACGATTTGGAGGAAAAACCACTACCTATACCTCAGGATAAACCCGGTGATACTACCGACATCACTCGTGCACTCTATCCGCGCTTACTCATGCTATACAATTCACAACTCGATACCTGGGCTTCTTGTGACGATAAAGATGTTCTTATACACCATCCTTACGTTGCCATATCCTATCGACAATCAGATTTCTTCAAGAGAGGAGAGGATGAGAAGGGCAAGATAGTCGAGTTGGAGCAAAAGGATGCGCTGGTGGAGAAGATCCGACGAGCATGCCTCGGACAAGGTTATTTTGCTTACTGGCTAGACTTCGAATGCACCGGTGCGTCTATGGAAGAGAAAAATCTTGATCTATACCGCATCGCAGACGTATTCAGAGGCGCTTCTTTCACCTTGATCACGATCGCCGACAGCCAGGACGACCACAGTTTGGGAGGTTGGAAGAGCTGGGGTGGTCGCGTATGGACACTTCCCGAGGCACTCCTCAGCCCACGTATGCGCTACATGGTGGGAGATGGGCCAGTGGCTCCTGTGACACTACGTCAGCTTGCGAACTGGGCGTACGAGCACTACGACGAAGAAGTGGCCATCATAAATGGATATAGTGGGAAGGATGCGTTGGAGAGGTTACAGCGTCTCATGTTGTTGAAGAATGCTATATGGCGTCGCTCTAGTGGATCAATCACTACACCTCAAACGGGAGAGAAGGCGCAGGTATCACAGGAGACTCTTGTGCCACGAAGCGAGTTCACTGCATACCCAGCAGAAAAGGTCTATGCCTTGATGGGCTTTTTCGAACGTAGAATCATGCCCAATTTTCTCGAGACAGAACTGCAAGCGCTTGCGCGGCTTTCGATGGCCAATGATAGTGATAGAATCGCTGAGAGGATGGTATCCATGCTCCCTCCCAAAATCTCGCCATCTGCCTGCTGGTACTCCGACGAAGATGTGTACGGAGCTAATCTATGGGATGTGGAACCCGATGTGCAAGTAGCTGGAATCACAAAGAATGGTGCATTGGTGTTGGACGGTTGTCACGCAGCAGCGATCAGGTGGAAAGGCTTTCCGGACGTTGCCTTCCTGTCCAAGATGACTTTCAAGCGCATTGTCTGCGGTTCTCTACCGTATTTATCTTGGGAGTTCCTGTTACTCGGCATAGTCCTCGTACCCTTCGAAAGATCCTCCGGAATAGCCATTATAGTCATATCATTGATCTTGTTGTTGGTTTCCCCGAAACTCATCGTCTACAGCCACTCTGGGCGTGTTATGTTGGCACAACCCTGGCTTATTGGTGTCAAGGGCATTATTACAGCCGAGCAAGCCTCAAAAAGGCTATACGGCAGTACCAAGTCAAGCTTCCCTCAGACATTCTACACCGCCAGTGGCTCCGAATTCGCCGTACCCAACGAGCAGGCTATCCGCAAAGGAGATGACTCTCAGGTCACCTTAGCATCTGGACCAGAATGGGCCGGAAACGTTTACACGCTCATAGATACCAAGTCGTTCACCATTTACTATTTCAGGGCAGAACGGCCGCCAACGGTTTGCGTGTTCACAGGTCGAGAAGGTGGGCTAGGAAGGTTCGTCCTATGTTCAGAAAGTTGCACTATCAACGAACTACACAAGGAGACTGTCTTGCGAATGCCGTCGTACATAAGCAAGTCCATGTGGGCATGCGACTGGCTCGCTATCGGTGGTTTGGATCCTCCCTCCCACCAGGTACCTATTGCTGAGCAGGTTCAAATTCCGGAGGCGCCTGAGCCATCTATGAATCCAATTGTCAGGCGGAAGACGACAGGCAATACATTCCTCTGGTGGACACTGTTTACGGTTCTCTTGGGCTTTTGTTTGATACCGTCGGTTCACGCAGCCAGTTCCCCACTTGGGCAAATTTATACCCAAGCTCCACTTGATCCAATCTCCCTCATCACCCTCTTCTTCGATGATCCCGAGAAGGATATGTTGGATAGGAAAGGCGACATGACGTTACTCACTTGTTTCGGGCTTTTTGCCAACCCTGCTACTGTCTGGCGCGAGTATTACTCCCTGCATATTGGCCAAGGCTTGCAATACTTTAATCCTTTGCAAAGCATCACTAGCACCGTGGAAGTCGGACAAGTACACCGGTATCTCATGTCATTGAGTGGGGGGTACGATAAAACCGGCATGGTGGTGCGACTGAAACAGTTGAAAAAGAGGCAGTGGTTGCCCACTTCGTTCTCTTGGGAGTACTGCGTCATCAGGCCAGTGGTATTGGCGGCGCTGATCAGCATTGCCAGCTTGTCATTGGATTTCTTCGCTCTTGGTTCGTTGGGCGCGCTTCTCTTTGGCCAGACAATCGCGATCGTGAAAAGTATCGCCGACGGTCCACTCCCAAGCGCAGGGAAGGAGACAGAAGAACAGTCAAACGTATTCTTCCTGGCCAATGGTGTTACCGTTATAGTCAAGGCTCCAGGCGAGCTTTTTATCGAAGCTACGTCATCCAGAGTGTTCGGGAAAGCACGCGCTCCTGAAGGCTGGCGACTGATCTCAACCGTACTCTTCATGGGAGGAATACTGCTTGTCGGTTTCTCTGGTATGCTGTTCCGGATCTCGTATCTCGTCGCACATGTGATTCAGGCAGCACTGCTCGTGTATGCTGGCGATAAACCGCTGCAGCGTCAGATTGTCAACCGGGTGGAATGGGTGGTGGACGGCAACGATATCGAGAAGCCGCTATTGCGCAGGAGAGATACATATGTTTGGGTAATTAAACAAATCAGGAAGCACCCCTGGGAAGGCTTCGAATGGTTGAAGACCTGGAACCTTGCATCTGGAGAAACATTCAACTACGTAGAGACGCTACTTGCAACGCCCGATGGACCATGTCTAGAAAATGGTCTTATTATCTCAGAGAAAACTTGACCGTCATTTCTTTTATTGAAAGTATTATTTATAACGTCTTCTACCTCCCTAATCCAAGTTTGTTAATTCTTTCGTTTTTTTTATCTGGGGCACGAGTTTAACGTTGAAGTATTGCTTATTGTAAACTACAAATCATTTCCGATTACTGTTCCCTTGTTGTACTAGATGTTTGCATTGATTCTTTCTTTGGGTCTTATGTTTGGACCGCCACATTACTGTTTTACAACGTCGACATTGCTTTCCACTGCGACAATTTAATGTTTGTACCCCAAGACACTTGCAACCTCTGCGGCTCCTTCTAACAGATTCTTTAGCCTGTCCTTTGTGCTCCCCATGTTCTCCGCGTCTGACTGATAGATATCCAGTCGTACAGCCCGCTGACCAACATTAGAGGAAAATTTTTGCGTGAATGTCTCTCGCCCCGATGAGCGCGTGAAGATGTCCAAGAGTCCACCTCTAGTTGCGCAACTTATGAGCTGTGACACCCCCAAGGCGCGAGAATCTTTATCAAGCGCCACAACCAACACGCGCCCCCTTAGGCCATAAAACTCATTCTGACAGTCTGTGTAAACGCTGCAGACAAGCGTTCCATCCCTATAGAGCTTCGCGTTCGTAGTGACCATCTTTGCATTGCCCACTTCATCCACTTTCGTGGCCTCGATTGCAGCAGTTGCCTAAGCATCAGGTGGTCACTTGGCATGACAGACATTGGCTAGGAACCTTTGAGAACACGCACCATGATAGTGGTATTGTCAGATAGCTTTGACCTATGAGTACGGTTGGCTGTAGAAAGACAATAAGCCTTGGACACGTTCAAGACACACCCAAGTAGAGTTCACCGTATCTGTCCTATCTGGGAGTCATCGCCCAAAGCTCCGACTGATATGAAGTCTGATTAGGCATCTTCCTAGACTCGATTTGGATTATATAGGAAGAGAAATTAGATACTTGTAGCGTGTGCTTGTGTCATTCAATGATTACCAGAATAAATACACTGATGATGATGGAAAAACAAAAGGCGAAGATGATAACTACTTGCTAAATTCGGAATAAAGGCTTAATAATCAAACGATATATACCGGAGTCTGAAATCTTCTCTACTGATCTTGCTCACTTGTTCCGAGTCAGAACTTGACTTGCGGGCTCTCTTGAACTTCATCTTTGCTTTTGAGACATACCAGCTTCTAGAACAAGGAATCTAACACACAACTCCTGAAGTATCCTGCCGCCACGTCTAGAACGTTACTTTATTTTCCCATGTTAATAGTTGATCACATCTTCATCCTCTGAATTCAGTGAACTGTCAACGGATCCACAGGTTACCAGCCCAAAGCGGGACACATTGTCCTCACACTCCACAAGCAGTAGCAACACACAGCTGTCAAGGTTGACCGAAAGGAAGGTTGTCGTTGCTCGTCACTCTATCAAGTCTCATGAACACTCGGAACACTCGGACGAGCTAAGTCATGTTGTTTGGCACTAACCTGTTGGCTGCAATGATATTAGTTTCTGGTGTGCATTTTTAAGCTCGTCTCCAACTGGCCTTACAGATATACAATTTTTCTGAAGTTATACATACTAGCTAATGCTTGGGTCCAGGGTGAAATCAACATTGTAGAGGGAGTCAACAGTCTCAGTCCAAACGCAGCATCAGTCTATACGAGTTCTTGTTTAGTGCCTCTTTGATATTAGTCCTCGCTAACTTTATTGTATGTCTGCTGGTGAGCCACTAGCCCATATTGTCCTTGATTACAATTTATACAGTTAGCAGTATATCTACCGGGAACGACTGCGCGACCTATGAGACAGGGTATGGTGTCAAGTTTCCAGACCAACCAGGCGATCCTATTAGCTTCGGATTTTTGAGGTACGCTCTTGAGCATGCTGAGCACGGTTTCAAGGTTTGGTTCTGGTTGCGCAGTGACACCACAATCCTGAATGAAGTAAAAAATACATGGGGGTACAGAATGTATCGACACGACTTCTTGGGTAGCTGTATTTACACTATATTATTCATTCCCGTTGTTGCTGAACGCTGGTTCTGCAGACCCAGTGGAGGGGGCTCCGGTTGCATATTTATGGTCTTTGCGATTTCCAGGATCATTTTGGGACGCTCACCATAATGATTGACCTATATGTAGGTGAACTTCCTATAGACCAATGTTCTGCGTTTACCAACTTTTCGTGAACATTTGTCAGGTGGTGACTGGGCAGGTAATGACGCCGCATTTCAAGGGTCGGGTTGTCATCGAACCCGTCAAGGTAAGTTAGTTTTTCGTCCATTGACCTCACCGCTATATATGCCAGATTTGTCAAGAAGCATCCAGCTACATTCTCGGCTTACTAAGATTTTGCCTGGATTTACGAGCCAAACGCCAACATTGTAACTTCCCTTAGCCTCGTTCTGGAGCTATCTCCCTGAAGAGACACAAATTGATCGCCTTCCTTCCGACCAAAAGGATCACGCAGGACAGCAAATTCTTGAATTAAAATATTTTCCTGAAGCTTTACGATTTTTTTGAAAAATTTGGTTTCTGCCAACACGCACATGGTTATGCAGCTGTAGATGTACTTGGTCGATTACCATGTGACCCCATGTTTGTGAAATAGCACACGTGCCTCGTTTGCCCCAATGATATTGATTGGCTACAAATGGATGTTGGGTAAGCGATCATCATCATGTATGTCTTCTTCCCCCTCAGTCCATCGGGGTTTCCTGGTCCACAATGACCAGTATCCACTTTCCTATACATGTCGTTGTCTTTCTTCGCAGACTCGCCAATGTCATATCCACCTTATCCATATCCAACCAATATCTACTTCACAAGGTCAGACACGAGGATGATCTGACCGAAATTACCCCAACATCAAGGGAAGCACAAGTTCCGTCCCAACTTTGGCCTTGGGAAACCTCGAAAGAGACCACCGAATGGTTGTGGCGAGGGTCAAAGACGCTTCAAGGAGCTATGGAGCGCAATGCCCTGCTAGGACGATCAGAGAATCCAACTTCAAAGGGTGAGGCAGTTGTTGAAGGTATGTCGCTGTCTCGTGTTGATCGCATGTCCTTGTAAATGTATCATGTACACTAGCTTCCAGACTTAGTGCCTCTGGGACACGACGAAATTTTTCGTGGCTCTCAGTTTTGTCGCTGTCGACTAACATGGGATCTTCGGAGAGTCCCCAGGACGATGAACCTCCACCTTCTCACAGGCGTGAACTCAGGAGGTCGCCATCAGGTGCATCACCACAGCCTCGGCCGCCGCCTCAGCCTCCTCGCGAGCCAGAACATGATCTTAAACCACTGGATACTATACACTATCTAATGAAGAACCCCGTTCTCTGTGATCCCGTAAGGACTCCCCGCTACCCTATCGTCTTGTGCCATGGTTCGTCTTAAGAGGGACGCTCCTATCGATCTTAGTGAAACTGATACCTTAAATAGGTTTGTATGGTTTCGATGTACTAGGGCCTTCTGCTTTCCCAGGTCTTCGACTGCATTATTGGTCAAACGTTCTTAGCATCCTCAAGAAGAAAGTTGGTGCAGACGTGATTGTCACATCGGTCCCAGGGTATGTTTATGAGCTAAGGGATATATCCTTCCGACCTGATGGTAACAAACTTATAGGACTGGGTCTATCGCATCTCGATCTGAGAACCTGGATCGCTTACTGCAAGAGAAAGCTCGAGGTCGGGGTGTAAACCTCATGGCTCATTCCATGGGAGGTCTAGACTGTCGACATCTAATCACACACGTCAAACCGACGGAATACACTCCACTTTCCCTGACCACTGTCAGTACTCCTCATCGAGGCAGCCCCTTCATGGATTGGTGTGCGGTATGATCGCTTTTTATCTTCATTAAGCACATCTCGCTCATGAACTGTAGGATAACATTGGGCTTGGGAAACTTCGCCAGAAAGAGCTCCAAGATAAGTTGGCATCTGCAGAGATTCACTCGATGAGGTCCCAGTCGTCATCCACAGCTCCTCAGGCCGAGAAATCTGATTCGCATTTCTCATTCTCTTCGTTACCATCGTCTTTTACTACTCTTCTAATATCAGTACTCGACTCTCCTGCCTACGCGAATTTAACATCTACCTACCTCAACGACGTCTTCAATCCCGCCACACCAGACGATCCTCGCGTCAAATACTTCAGCGTCACAGGGCGCACTGATAGTGTAAGTGTATGGCACCCCTTTTGGCTTCCAAAGATGGTACTGGACGGCTCAGAGGAGAAAGTACGAGATAAACTGAAGAGGGATTGGATGAGCTCGGGACGGGAGCTCTCACAAGAGAAACCACCATGGGAAACCGAAGAACAATGGGGAAACGACGGTCTCGTTACGGTGCAGAGTGCACGATGGGGTGAATTCTTGGGTATCGTGGATGATTGCGATCATTGGGAGATCAGAGGTGCAAGCGGGATCGAACTCAACGTGGACTTTCCTTCAGTACCCTTGGCAAGCATAGGAGCTAACGTGGGTCTGGATGGATGGAGCATTGCAGATTGGAGAAAATTCGCAGGTGCTTGGCGGAAGCAGGAGAAGAAAGAGCAGGGCAATGACTCCCATTCAGTCGTACGCGAAGCCGTTGCCCCTGCTGGCAAGTTGACAAAGGCAGAAAAAGACCGCATTCAAGAGGGAGAACGAAACGATCCAGTCATCAAATCTTCGACGGACAAGCTCTCGGCTGTTTTTGACTGGCTTGCGGACCAACCAACAAAGCTATCATCCAAAGGGAAAGATTCAGGGGATCTCGCACTGAAGAAAGAAAAGAAACTGCCTAGGAATGATAAAGTGGATCTGGAGAGGTTTTACATGGCGTTGTCGAAGAAGTTGTATGACGAAGGACTATGACACTGTTGTCCAGCTTATTGTGGAAGGGTACTAGTCACTGTATTTGTATGGAGAATCAATACTCATTATTTATGCTGTACTTATGAGACATGAGAGATCACATCTTATCACATCTATGAAGACCAAAAAACATAGGGGAGTATATAACCTTAGCGCGACTGCGAAGGATTGTGGTTTATTGCTATTGCATTCAAGATCGCATTTGTAAATAGTACAACCCAAACGAGGTATTATTTTTCTTCCCATTGTTTTCCTAAGTTAAAGTACTTGGTCCATTACAATACAACCAGCCTCTCCGCTAGTTGGAAAGGTCACGAGCGAAATGGAAGAAATCGACACTAGAGCCATTAACACCATATTTGTAAATCTGCAAAGCAACATCAATACAACAAAACCTTATCACGGAACACTGATACTCACGAAATGCGAAGCCACCCAGCTGGAGAACAATGCCCGCTGGTATGGTTCAGGAAGCCTCTCCAACAGTGCGTCAAGTCCAACTTTTTCCACCAGTGTCTTAGGCATAGCGCGCCTCATCACACCCTTCCTGCTTGGAACATCCTCAAATAGATCGGAACTCTCTAGCTCCGCCTGCAAGTTGTTCAGTGTGCTCGAAAGCTCGTCGGAGATCTGCGTGCGTGCTTTGGCACCCTGCAACCTTGAGTGCTCGCGCCATATGCACTGGAACTCGGCCGCGGCGTTCTCGGTGATCTTCGTCTGGATATCTCGGACGTAGCTTTGATAGAAAGTAGATGGCTTTCCGTCTTTGAAAATCATGAGGTCGACGTAGTCTTGAGTAGCAAGCGCCAAGCCAGCTAAGACTTCGAGTGAAGAACTTGTTACACCACCTGTCAAGGTCCATCTTAGCTTTTGTCACGACAATACATCAAGGAGATGCGAAGCATACCCTTGTTGGTACTTGAATCTTTGAACAAGACAACCTTGCGTTTCTCCAAGTACATTCTTGCCTGTTGAGTAAAGAACAAGTTGGCCCCTTCAATGACGTATTTGAAGTGAGGCTTGCCCTCTGCGTCGATAAGTGCAGCCACATTAGAGATGTTCACGGCTTCAGGACTGCAATAACAAAATACGACTAAGTATCATCCCATGCCCATATATAAAACAATAAATTACTAACCGGCCACCACAAGGCACGAACAAATCAGCTTTGAATCGTAGATGTGCACCGTTCCTGAAATCAGTTCCGTCAAGGACGATTTCTCCGGCTATCGAAAGCACGTCAGTCCTATTTCTATATTTACTAGAATGTGCAGCTTACAAGGAAGTTTAACATCTTGATCTTCTACCTTTACTAGATATCCATCTTTGCTGAGTTTCGTCTTGTCAAAGTTCGCCACAGGCACACGCAACTTGGCAAGGCGAATGAGTTCCTCGCGATTGAGACCAGCTGGATCAGCGAGGACGCCACTACCGTCGATGATAGCCACCGTTTTATCAGAGCTTAGGAGAATTTCATCTACATGAGAGAATTAGCCTCAAGTGGAATACAGCTGAACGCTGATGCAACATACTGGATCCAAGATCGCCATCTGTACGGTAATGCAATGTTAGCTCTTTTGTTAACTACGTGCCAAAGGGGTAAACGTACCAGGACCACCAGTCTGCACCTTCGTGATGTCTTTTTCCCTCAGACCCAGTTGCTTGTATATGCCCAGGACGTATTGCCTGATTGACAGTGATGTCATACCGTACGTATCATGTGGGACACCACCAAGCGTTTCGGCACTCTTTCCAGTAGTAAACGACTTCCACCAGGTCTCAGCACCACGGTCGCGGGCATGCACTGTACCCAACACATATTAAGTCAAGTTCGATCAAATCCCTTGTAAAAACTTACGTGCAGCCCAGTCCATCATGTCGGCAGTGCCCTCTGTAGCAAGAACGAACGTCAATATCCTTCTTCCGCCTGATAAAACCTTCACAAACCATCTGGACCAAAGAAAAGCAACTCAGGCTTGTTGTACAGATCAACTAGGCGCTCTTTGATACCGGGGCTCTGCCCGGGGATAAGAAGGTCTATGACAGCCTACAAAGAAAAACAGCATATAAGCACCATTCCTTCCAGCAGTGAACACAAATCTTACATCTACATATTTCTCGAAGCATAGCCTTGGACTTGCTCCCAACCTAAGCAGGATATATGTTATCGACTGAACAATTCATTACAGCACGTAAAGACATACGAAGGTAGAATCGTTCCCTTGGCTCCGCCTTCCGGGATATCCTTGTTCTTCAGCGACTGCGTAGAAGCCAGCCCGTAATTCTCATCGAACCTTTGGAGAAGTATTAGTATCTGATCACGACATGAAATATAATCACAATGTGACTTACAACATCCTCTGGTTAATAGAGTAGTTTCTGTACACGCATTATTAGTAATAAAAATCACAGAAGATAAATCATAGCTTACTCTTTGTTTCGAGACATCACAATTCGGATACCACCTCTTGCAACATCCCTGAAGCGAATATGGAATCCGCGGAACTCGTTCCCGATGATGATGAACATGCCAAAAGGCTTCTTTGGGTACTCAACCTCGGGCAAGAAGTCAGGCGCGAGGCGGAAAGACAATGCGACCTTTGTTGGCTGGTAAAAGTTCGTCTTGAGAACGTGTCTACGAGTTTATAGTCAAAGGTAAGATTTTCCATGAGGAAATGACACAACGTACTTGTTGAAGATGAGAAAACTCTCAAGGACTTGTAGATCTTGCTTGTTGATCACCGAGCGCCTGATTCTGTCGTACAATTCTGCATCCGAGAGAGGTTGTGTCGTCTGAAGACGTTGGTAAGACAGCGTCGGCCTACATGGGCATATACATCAACATGTGTGAACACGGTATTTCCGAGAAAAGAAAACAGCACGCACATCAACTGAGACGCCTCGTCCGCAGCAGGGTAATGCACCATCGCGAAGTTTACATATAGTAACCGAATCTGAACCAAAACCATTATTAGCAAAGAACGATACATCGCGTCTAACACAACGACATACAAGCTCAGGGTGCGCATGAATGACCTGCGCGATACTCTCACGCGTGAAAGTCTCTTCTCTGAAGCGACGCTTGATGTCATTGAGGACTTCAGCATGAGATGGGTTTGTCTCATCCAGGATATTCTTAAGATGGAGGTACGCCGGACCGAGTCGGTTACAGAAGTGCTGTGCGAATACCCAACCACAGTCTAGGGACATCATAGAATTAGACTAGTGCAAAGAAAACGATGATGGTAGAGACATACAGGCATACGTCGCTTCTTGAACTGCATGGCTGTTAGTTGGAAGGAAGAAGGGATTATCGGGGAGACAGAACAAGAGGGAGGCTTCTTTCATGACTTGGAAAATCGAGTGCTCGATCGGGGCTGCATTGGAGTTGGGCAGCGGGTTGAGGTAGAGGGAGATGATGGTAATCCCATTAGAGAACTGTTCCACGTATTTACGCGCCGAGTACAACGAGTAGAAGTGGTAAAGGTTGGAGAGAGCGCTAGTAGTGAAAGGTCATTGATAGCACTAAGGAAAGATGATAAATGTGATTACCTGAAGAAACGCGATGTTCCGCCCATCTTGTATCCAATGACAAGACGCCTCTCGCGTGTACCCTCGACCTCGAACACTTCGATGACAGGACCATAACGGCTCTCGACATTCCACAGAATCTGCTGGTAAATTTCGAGAGTATTTTCGGTCGCTTTCTCGAGGAAGACAGGATCGGAGACGCTCCGAATATCAGTGCGGCCATCAGTGCGAGTAGAGGGAGGCGCCGGGGATGGGAACCAGCATTTGGTGACAAAGTAGCAACGAAGCTGCTGCGAAGCAGTCGCAGAGATGGAACCAGTTGAACGGAAAGTCTCTAAACGGTAAGCATTCGAGGGAGTAGAACCGTCCAGATACAACGAATCGATGCTAAAGATGACATTAGATGACGTTCCATTATAAAACTCGCTAAGTGGAAAAAGTACGAACCGAGACTCGCAAGTTGCACCCGGGCCCTCGGTAGAAGTTAAACCCGGAGCGCTGGTGTGGATGAAAGTCGCACCATTGCCTTTCTCGTCGATCTTCTCGAGGTCAATGACGAGCTGGTTCGGGTCATGCTTGGTGTATGCGAGGACCTTTGCACCGAAGAGCGCGAGGATGTGGTCAGAGATAACAGACGGAGACTCGTTCTGAAAGTAGGTATCGTCGATACCGAGGTGCGAGTAGAACCAGTTAACCTCGTTCGCGACTAACTCGCGAGGAATGAATCCCTGCAAAGTGGAGCCATGTACGAGTGAGTGGTCAAAGAAGAAGAGATAAAACTAGCATGCATACCTTGTTGGCGACATTGGCTTGGACCTTTGCTCTTTGTTCTTCCTTTCCCTTGAAGACTGGGGTGGTGTAACCGGGGAGGTTCTTGACGCGTTGCAATGAAGCCTCGCTGCTGGTGCGAGAGCTGGCGTTGGACGTGGACGAGTAAGGGCCACTGTTGAGATAGCTCTTTGTGGGGTCGAGGAGGACACCTGGGCCTGGCTTTAGTGGTGTTGGCGAGGTCATTACCGACGATAGCGAAGTCTCTAGGATGAGATTATAGGTTCTATAGCAGGTTTATAGAGCTTTGTAGGTATGTCTAATGAATTTGAAGAGCAGATATGGGGAATGGAGCGAAAGAAAGGGCAGGAATATTTATATGGAACTGAAGGCGGGGCTACACAAAACAACACAAGACACGGTTAGACACCGGACTGCATATCATCCCGCGCTGCTAATACCCGCTCTCTCATCTCCATGATCCGTGAAAGGCGCTGCTTAACAGCGTACCTCGTCCATTATTCTATGTCTTAATATACTCATCTGTACCATACAAAATGTCGCATTCGGCGCACTTTCTACTATCACATATGCACCTAATACTGGCCACCAACACAAAAAGGTGAGATTGAAATTCAAGTTGGCTGAAAAGAATTTTCGGCCTCTATGAACAAACTTGGAAAACACAGCAACAGTCCGTAACGTCCGAATGCCTGGCCAGAGTCATCCTGTGAAATATTGGGGTAGCAATCCACCGTCATCTGTGCTAATTATTCGCGATAATAATGTTAGTTGCAGTCTAAGCTGTTCGGGTAATTAGCCTGAACAGTTCCCGTTGCGGTGAGTTCTTTCCTTCAACTATCAGGTACTACAGCGGTCCTCGGTAATACTCATGTCATGCCATTCCAAGTAACGAGATACCTGCCATCTTTGAAACGTCAGCACTGCACGCATATGCCTCAAGTTAGCTCTGGCGATGAAAGATACGAATGTGCCACGAACGTGAACCGGGTCTCGCCCGTCGAGTTCTGGCTAAGATCCGAGCGCATTCCCTCCTCGCACTGGTCCGCTAGCTAAGCGGGCGCGTGAATGTGAACCCGTGTTGTGATGGAATCCATGTCTCGATATTCCGACTCATGCAACGAATGAAAAAGAGTAATTTTATATCACTCGTGGTGTTCGTTTCCTCATCGAACCCTGCCAATATAGGGACGCATATGTAAAACATTTCGAGGCGTGTCCCTTCAAGCGTATTTACGCGACACTAGTCAATCAGGTGCGTCCCCGTTCGTCAGGTGTTCAGCTTCAAACGTGTATTGGCGGATTCGCAGAGTTCTGTTGACGTTGCCTTGGGGTTAGTTGACGTTTTACAACTCTAGACGTTTTACCCCACAATTACCCCAGATTGCAGTGTCTTCGGGTAATAACACTGATCGTAGCAAGTTCCGTCAAGCACGGTGAGGCACCACATCAGTCTAGGTCCCATACTGTCCCCATATGCAGCTGTCAATATCGTAGCAAAATGCACTGCAATCTATCATTGAATCGTCCGAGACACTACTATTGGCTCGTTGGGCGCGACTACTACTCACGACAATAAGCAAAGGGAAAATAAAGAAACAAATTTTCACGACATGCTCAAGTACACTTCTCTTTCTAACTCCCCCAATACAATTACCATTATAACTTATTCAAGGGCAGCCAATCCGTCCCTGAGGTATTCTTCAAACAACGCCTTCCAGTTTTTGTGCCATCGGCTGAGCGCTGGCCTTCCTTCCGCGACGTCGGCCGCAGACCACATAATGCGTAATTGGTCTACTTCCTTTCGCGTGTCGTTGTCGGGGCATATAATGTAAAAGTCACCGGAGCGTACACGGTCGAGCATGTATAACACTGTCTCTTCAGCAGACCATGCACCCGCGGGCTTCTCGGAACTACGAGCAGTCATGCCAGTGAAGGTCCACCCAGGGCTTTGGAATAGTACCGAGTCAATTGAACTGAAACAGCGAGTAAACTAACAAGAGGACTCACACGAAGAGATGAGCCGTGAGATTCTTGGAAGACTGGTTGCGCAGCTCGTGTGCCAGTCCTTCAGTCAAACTCTTGACGGCCGCTTTAGAAGCATTGTACCCGGCATTTCCACTGTGATAAAAGGGGTCAGAGCCAAAAGGTTAACCAATAGCTAACAGGGTAGGGCTGCATAAAAACACAATACGTACGGAGGGTTGGTGATACCCTGCTTGGACCCGGTGTTGATGACCATCCCTGGGTTCTCTTGATGAAGCATCGACTGTAAAGCCAAGCAAGTGTCATCACTATGCTAATCTGATAATGCGATGACTGAGGAGCTTACGGGGACAAATGTCTGCTGCACGTTGACCACTCTGCAGCGAATAGTCAGACGACCGAACAAAGCCGAAGACAAAATGACAACAGCATACCCAAAGACGTTCACGTCAAAGATCTTTCGCCAGTTATCGAGCCCTGTCCAGGAGGTGCTTTCCGGACCTATGCCGGCATTGTTAAGGAGAACAGCGACCTACGCGGGCGAGATAATCAGACGCAGACGCAGATCAGATAACGAACCACCAATAGCGATTGCAACTCACCTCGCCCCACGCTTCGTAGACCTTATCACGCAAGCGCACTACATCTTCAAGCTTGGACACATCAGTGGGGATGATGAGGACGTTCGCGTCACCGACAATCTTTGCGACCGCCTTGCCTGTGTCTGAGAGGAGATCTGGGGAGGTGTCCGCCAACGCGATCTTGAGTCCCAGTCTGCGAACATGGGTTCAAGGAGAACCGCAATAGCGACAAATGGTCACAAAAAAAAGATACAAACACGACAGTGATCATCGGTCAGATCAGCACCACACCAGCAGAACAGAACACCCTCGTAAGTGTTTCCGCGGGTGAGTGTGAAAAAACGACAACCGCACGCACTTTGCCAACTCTAGTGCAGCGGCTCTGCCAATACCGCTTGCAGCACCAGTTATGACGGCGACTCTCCCTGCATGAAGGACGGGATGGAGTTCTGTATCGACGGGGGACATGGCTTCTACACGATAAGAAGCACTTCCGCCAAAGATTGGTGGACGAAGAGGAGATGGGCCACGGTCGAGAGGCATATTATAAGTCTAGTGAATGAAAGGGAAGGGGATTGGCTGGTTATTATAACAGAGATCAGAACGTGACTGGTGAAGGATATTATAAGCCAAGTTATAAGCTACTGACAAGTCTAAGGCTATAAACAACGACCTGGTGCTTGGCTTGGTTCCGCTGGCGTGTAGTGTGCTGGGTGGGCTTGTAAGAATTTTTATCGGCTCAGGAAAAGATTCTGGCTTTGGGCATGGCAGTGATCCCTTTTTATATGTTTACCCAGGAGACGGCCGCGAACCAGGCGCTGAGAGAAACGGTTTCAGTTAGGCACACGGTTCATCCAAATATGACGTCTGGTGTCTCCACCACTTTCCCGTAAAAATAAGAATCAAAATCATCTGTACAACGAAGGTGCATATTAGCCATAGAAAGGACACGGTGATCGCCTTTCTCTACAGAACATCACAATACTGCCATCATTTAGATCCTCCCTCCTCGGACACGAGGAACGATGGCAAGGGTAAAATAATTGCAGAGACAGTTATAGACATCGTACATTATATTACAGGTACAGAGAAGCATGTTCATGTAGCTAAAATCCGTCCGCAAACCTGCTAGCATACGTGCTAGATATTTTCATAGAACGATGAAAGGAGGCAAAACAGAACAAAACGACAAGAGACCAGAGTATTGAGATAGAGTTTGATTTGGCAGCGCTAAACTGCCTTTGAAAGTGATGATCATCCCTTATGATCACGAGGAGGAAGTCTCGCTGGCCCCACCAGGATTCTCCATGCCCATCTTCTTCCTCACTACCTCGAATGTCTTCAACATTTTCCTCCTCGCGCCAAGAGCGGCCACGCCCTTGCCTTCCAAAGCAGCCTCATCAAGCATTACCATGTCCTGCCACTTGTACCCCTCAAAGTTCGGCGTGTACTTGTGCAACCTCAGACTTCGCAGCCAGGCCGGGATATCATTCAGTAACGCAGGGTCGACGTCCTCCTCGTCTTTCTTTCCGCCAGCGTTGCTGCCTGCGTTGCTACCAGCAGAAGATCCCGACTTTCCGAGGCCAGGAGACCGGCCGCCACCGCCGCGATTCCTGTTATTATTATTGTTGCTGTTATTTCCGCCATTACCACCTTGCATCCCCTGCGGTAAACCCAACCAACCGGGCTGAGTGAAACCCGCCATTTGGGCAGCCAGAACCTGCTCGGGAGAGATTCCCATCGCACTCATCTGCGCCTGCATGCTAAGCATGTTCATCTGCTGAATGGGGTTCATTCCTGCCAGTAAGCTAGCATTTTGCATTCCCATGCTTAATCCAGGGCTACCCAACCCTCCCATGTTAAATCCAGCCATGCCCAAACCGTTAAGACCGTTGGGTTCGTCCCCGAACCTGTTCGGAGTGGGTAACCCCGGGCTTCGGGCTCCATTCCAAGTACCTTGCGGTTGTCCGTTAAAGTTGTTATTAGCTCCTTGACTAACGTTCCTGCGTTGCACCTGTTGTTGCTGTTGCTGTTGCTGCTGTTGTTGCTGCTGGATAAGGTTGGTGTCTACCCCACCACTACCATCTCGGCCGTTGTCAGAGTTAGGGGCTGTATTGCCTTTCGATGCACGACGGAATGACTTGGGATCAGCCATGAGTGGAACGCGAGGCGCAGCAGCCAAAGCGGACCATTCATTTAACTTGGCGGCCGCTGCATCAAGGTTCTGATTGCCATGCGCCTCCTTTCCGAACATGAGATTCTGAGGGGTATTCACCATGCTGGCCCAGCTGTCGCCCATGATAGGGGAGAGCGTGTCTGCACCCGGGTGAGGAGACCCGATAGAGCCACTGAACTCGGTACTTTTGGGCCTACTGTTAACGCTAATGTTTGGGCTGGGTACAGCGATCTCCTGAGCAGGTGAGTGAGGGTTCTGCTCTGTTACTTGGCTCAATGCAGATCCCCACGAGGAACGGCCATCTCCGCCAGTAGATGCAAGGACGGGAGCCGAAATCCTATGGGCAGCGTTGCTTGCTTTTAATTTCGCTCTCTGTTGCGCTAGCGTGGCAGCAGCATCGTTACCCCCAGATCCTATCGCAGCGGATTCGGGGGAAAGAAATGCGGACGAAGTGTCCAATGCGAGTGATTGCCTGTTAGCACTGAAGTTACGAGGCGAAGAAGGCATAGGCGACTTCAAAGCAGGAGATTTAAGACTCATTTGGGCGAGTTTCGCCTCCATCTGACTTTGCATGGAGCCTAAAATAGAATAATATTAAAATGATTTTAAGAGCAAAGAGAGCATCTACATACCACCAACAGCAGGACTCAAGAGAGCAGTCATAGGATCGGATCTTGCCATCTGTTGTAAAACTGTAATGAAAAATCTGATTTGAACTTGGGTAGAATGTTGAAGAAGACTGTATAGAGCGGCTGTGCGCTCTGCTTCAGAAAGAACTTTGAACCCTGAAGAAGAACATATTTTAAAAAGTTATCAAGCAATATAGCTAGAATACTTACACTGCTCTATCGCGCTCAATTCTTCTTTAAAGTTGACGTCCAGCGATGCGGCAGCCATATCTTCGAGAGTGGCCTCGTAATTCTGCAAATTCTCGAACCACTGGTCGATCGCATCCGATTCGGGGGTTTGGAACATGCTTGCGCTTCCAAGGAGCTCGCTGGTGGGGCGGGCACCGCTCACACCGCCTCCACCCGGACGCGGCGAGGCAGGAGAAAGAGTTTGACGGGGGCCCATGGAAGCACGCGAATTAGCGGGGGCGCGACCATTTTCTGTAGTTAAAGGGGAAGGGGAAGGACTGGAAGGAGGGCGAAGGGTTGCCATGAAAAGAGATTTAGTAGATGAAAGTTGAAAGTGGGGTGTGAGAAATTATAAGTGAAGAGTTTTTGTAGTTGAGTTCCGCTAGCGAGGTGAAGATGGAAGATAGTGCTAGACCTATGTATGGGGACAAAAGGATGAGATATAGATGATGTTCCTTATCCAGGAGGAAGCGATCTTTGGGGAGATGAGGAAAACGTGTTGATGAAAAAGAAACAGGCAGACGCAAAGCGACCTCGAGATGTGATATCTTTGGTGATGCGTCTTGGAGCCAAAGTCCTGACGTCGAGTCTGCGGACTATGCTAGAAACAAGAGCACGACAGGAATACTGCGAGTACGTCTGTTGTGTGCTGCGTTGGGTCTAGACGAGACCAGCGGAGCCTGCCGGTCTAGCAAATCGAGCCTGCTAGGCGTGTGAGACGGGCAATATGACGAGGATAGAGCCAACGACGGTGGGCACAGACGAGGAGGACGTGGGCGACGGCGAGGACGTCGAAAAGGACAGCGGCGAGGGAAAGGTGTGCGTGCTGTTGTTGTAAATGATGTCGTCTGTTTGCTTGTTGTACTTGGTTCATCCTCGGCAACTCCCGGTATCAGTGCCACCCGGCGATGCTTCCGGCGGCATTTCTGGCCCAGCCGGACCCACTGTCATCCATCATCGTTGCCCTTGGTTTCTACCCGCACAGTCTCCGTTCGCTGATGGAAGTGGATAAGTTGATATCACCAGCGCACTGAGGGCGTATCGAATCCAGAACAAATCGAATACCAAGAATGATAATTGGGGCACACTCATATCACTTTGATTGTTTCGCAGGTCCATTTACTGCTGGCGTAACGTACTTGCTCTGTTTTTAAGAACCATACATAAATAACACTTCGTGGCAGACGTCTACCCCTTGTTCGTCGTGTCATGATAAAGGTGTCACGGTAATTTGTTGAGCAACAACTCCGTCCTTGCAATCCAGTGTGCAACACAATTGATACGTGATCCATCTGACGGATAATGTTCCAGCACAGTCATGTTTTTGGCACAACCCAAAATGGTCGTGTCCTTCATCAATCCTGCACAGCAGTGATCACATCTTTCTCTCAATGAGAGTTGCACCCAATAGAAGGAGATGTAATCATTTTTACGCACCCTAGTCTACCACATTCGTACGCATGTGTCACCGGTTTTCCGTCAAACATACTCCGAATGGAAAACCACCGCCGACTACTCCGACTTTGGCGTCTACTTGACAGATATGCATGATCTCCAAATCCCTCTTGCATCTTGATGCGAAGTCTATTTCGGCTTTTGTTAAAGATTGAATATCGACCGCTCAGGTGCGTACTTGATCCTTGCTGCGTACCTATCTTACAAGCATACTTGCAGTGCAATCGATCAAGGGAAAGATGGTATGTTCCAGGTTGCGTGTTGAGGAGTATTGAAATGCAACGTTTCAACAAGATCACGCACAGCACCAAACCGACCGATCATGTATTTCAGGATATTCCTATCATGCGAGTATCATTACTATTATTATCCCAAGTTGCCTGCTCATCGTGAAACACCGATCACAGCGACCTTCAAAATGCTACAAGTGAACATTTCTCCCTAAGGCGTGCGCTAGCAAATGAAATTCGAGATGCATGTATCAACGTCGGGTTTTTCTATAGTGCGTTTTGACCTACACTGAGCGACTTTATTGAACAACCATCGCATCCTTAGTCAAGAACCACGGTATACCCGAGAATATCATTGAAGCTACACTAAGTTCAGCAAAGAATTTTTTTGATCTCCCTATCTCTGCAAAGACGGAGGTCAGTATCTACCTCGTCTCATGCTTACATTCCACAAATTTTGAATTACCATGATCTTAGCTGGACATACATAAAAGCTCCAATTTCAAAGGCTACACAGCTCTGCTCGGTGAAAACACCGACCCAGAAAACAGAGGAGATTTACATGAGGGTTTCGATATAGGTTGGGAAGCGCCGAACGGTTCACAGCTGGCTCATCGGGACGATGGAGCTATGGCAGGGAGTAATGTCTGGCCTGACGATCTACCCGGATTCCGTGAAAATTTGTTAACATACTAGTGAGTTTGAGCAACCTTTTCTCACTAGCCCCGGACTAAAGTGCACCGTCTACATGAAGTCATGCCGTCGTACGCCTTGGCCAGTCACTGTTTCCTTTATTCGCGCTCGCTTTAGACCTTCCAGAGACGTTCTTTGACGACAAGGTGACTTGGAGGTCGTGTTTATTTTACAATCTGCCTGATAAATACACCTTCTTGGATCTGTCTTATTAGACGACGAAGCCTGCTGCGATACTGCGAGTATTACACTATCCCCCACAGCCTTCTCGAGAGCTTGATCGTATCATCGGGATCGGCGCGCATACAGAGTGAGTCCCCCTTTCTTCTTACGGGAAACAGTGAGATCTCAAAGCGTCTATTTCAGCTACGAGGTAAACTATTGCCTACTCTTCATTGAAATCACACGCCTAGCATTTTTGCATCCATTTTAGTGCTTCACTATCCTGTGGCAAGATCAAGTCCAAGCGCTACAGGTTATGAATGCCGAAGGGAAATGGATTGACGCTACCCCGATACCTGGTACATTTGTCCTCAAGTGAGTAGCCCTGATTACGATCTTGGTAGTTATAAGTTGATTTGGGAGCTGATCAACTCATTCTAGTCTGGGTGATCAATTCGCTCGTTGGACCAGTGCGTGTAGCGTGGCCTTGACAGTGCTCGACCTCACATATTATTGTTGCAGACGATGTGTTCAAATCTACAGTTCATCGCGCAATCAACGCTTCGGGCACCGAACGATACTCCATCCCGCTTTTCTTTGGGTCGGATTATGATGTAAAGCTCGAGGTATCCGTATTGTTTGCATGATCTCTACTTTCTCGACTGATTCTCGTGATGTAGCCCATTCAAAGTTGTGTTTCCACAGAGAACCCGCCGAAATACGAAGTTGTGACCGCTGGAGAGTATGTGAAGTCGCGTTTGGAAGCTTCATTCAACCACTCGAAATGAAAGGATAGGTCAAGGCATATCTCAGCTCGATCCCATAAATTTGACTCTGGTGACACGTTTACCCCTCATAAACTGATCTCGTATCAAAGTCGAATACATCTATTCGTACAACATTTGTTATTTCACTTCACTCTTGAGCAACCAATATAACACTCTTCCCAGTATTCGTTCCTTTCTGGACAGCCAATATCGCTTCCCCAGCACGTTCCAGCCCTTGTGTGATGTCTTCCTTATACTTGATCTCGCCACTCGCAAGCTTCCTAGGAATCTCCTCATAGAAAGCGGCGCTGTATTTCTCACGTAACATCGTCACGATAAATCCGTATATTTTGAGTGATTTGACAATGATTTGATAGGTGTTCTGTGTGTGTAAACAAGGAAGTTAGCAATGCATTTGATAACGGTGTTTCAATGAAGTCCCGAGTTTGAAAGTAATTTCACCTTGATAGGGTATGGTTGAGCGCCATTGTATTCCGAGATCATGCCACATTCCTGTTGGAGCAATGATATTAGGATAATGAAACTCTACATTGCTCTCATATGAATGACTTACGATCAGTCGTGCCCCAACCGAAGCTGCATTTATAGCCGCTTCAAAAGTTGCTCCTCCGACGTTATCCCAGTATCTGATTAGAACCAACGCATCAACAAAAAATGAAGGATTATAGGATGATGGGAAGGACGAACACATCAATGGGTCCCTCTTTCTCCAAAACCTCGACAGTGCTGGTCGTCTTGTAATTGAAAGCCACATCTGCCCCCAGTTCTTTCATGAACTTGACCTTCTCGTCTGAACCCGCGGACGCAATGACTTTGAGTCCGTCAATCTTTGCTAGTTGAATGACGAGTCTGACATGAGACTTTGTTAGCCGTTCAGTGTACAAACCTCATGTTCGTTTGCTTACGATCCAACAGGGCCTAAAGTTGAGAGAAAAGAGAAGGTAAATTTGAATACCGCTAGTTGACATACTAGCCTGCTCACCTCCACCCGTAGTCACAAATACTGTTTCGCCCTTCAGTCAAAGGTGAGCACCTATGTAAAAATAACGGCAGGAAGAGACCACAGGCTTACCTTCTTCGCGCTGGCATATTCCTTCCAAGCATCATATGCTGTTTCTCCTGGAATTAACGTAAGCTTAATGGATCGACTCTCATCCCCATTCGGCGTTGATCCATGACTTACCAGGCATGCCTGCTGCACCAACGTACACAGACCATGGTAGCTTCTCTTTGTTCTTCAAAATCAAAAAATCTTCTGCGTTATATTTGATGGAGTATTCTGCAAAATCTGTACCATGACATGACATCGCCCCGATGATTTAATTTGGATCCCCTTTGGAGACGAGAAAACTTCAGACTAACCATACAATCCATAGAGATGATCGCCTGCTTTAAAAGTAGCATTTTCAGAGCGCACCACGATCCCGACGCCATAGTTTACCAATCTTTAAGATGGAAATCACATGTCCGTCCAAGTTCAGAAGGATTAAGAGTGGCAAGAAGCCAAACTCACGGTTTCCCCCGTTCAAATGCGGGCTATCCACGCGGTTATAACATGACATATCAGAATCGACTGGCCTGCTACTATCATCAACAAAGCGAAGCGCTTACTATGTAACTAGGCAAAGACGAATCTCGCATTCTGCCTCTCAGATAAGGATCAATAGACAATACAAGCGTCTTGAGCAAAAAACCGCCATTCAAGGGGACATTGTCCAGGTCTATTTTCTCGCTGACATCATAAACAGTGGTTTGGCCGGGGATGGGATAACCTGGACACCCGTTACGAGTGCTAGTATGAGATCCTTGCTTGCAGCAGTAGTACGAAATAGCACAATACCATCTGGTACTTCATTGAATAGGAGACGAGCGTTCTTTGTGGGAGCCATTTCTGTGGTGTCAAAATACTACAACGAGCTATGAACGATGGAGGTAGTGGTTCAGAGAGGGATACGGAGTCATCAAGAGAATTCCCATCGACGCCTATAAATATGCAAGAAATATTAGTAGGCCGGGGTGCTTGGTAAACATGATTCTTACCAATAATCGAGCTTATTCAACTCTAACAATGATTAATACGTTGATGACGACAGAAAGGTGAGCTGTATCACTGTCATAATGTCATTTGTGAACGCTACTGTGCATATTCAATAGTCCCCCTTATCGGACCAATGACGGACGACAAACTTGGAACTCGAAGTTGATATCTTTGCTAACTTAAGAGGTCGTGAATATCATGATGATGGACTCGGTTTCAATCATTCAAGTTCAAGTTCACGTGACCTATCACCATGTATAAACAACAACTCATAGCAGACGCCTACCCCTTATTTGTCGCGTCATGATCTAAGTATCACTGGCAGTTAATGGAAAAAATAATCAATTTGATTCCATCCTTGAGACTCGGTGCTTGTATGCAACAATACAATGTGTGATCTCGTACAACACTTGCCGTGGCACCGTGTCACTCACTCTTGGGCAACCAATATAACCTTCTTCCCAGTATTCGTTCCCTTCAGGACAGCCAATATCGCTTCCCCAGCACCTTCCAACCCTTGTGTGACGTCTTCCGTATACTTGATCTCGCCACTCGCAAGCTTCTTAGGAACCTCCTCATAGAAAGCGGCGACGTATTTCTCAAGCAATGTTGACACTGTGAATCCGTAAACTTTGAGTGATTTGGGAATAATGTAGAAGAGGTTCTGCGTGGATAGTAAGCAATGGTTTTGGTGAGTGTGCATCAATTTCCTGACTATTATGATCCCGAGTATGAGGAACTCACCTTGACATGGTATGGCACATTGTTGTTGTAATCAGAGCTCATGCCGCATTCCTGGTGGAGCATTGGTATTAAGGCAATGAAATTATGTATCGTTCTCGTATAAATGACTTACGATCAGTCGTGCCCCGGTCGACGCTGCATTTATAGCTGCTTCAAGTGTTTCTCCCCCGACATTGTCCCAGTAACTGTTTAGAGCCAACGCGTCAACAAAAAAGGAATGATTCAAAGGTAATGAGGGCAACGAACATATCAATCGGTCCCTCTTTCTTCAATACATCGGCAACAGGGGTGGTCTTGTAATTGAAAGCCACATCTGCTCCAATTTCTTTCATGAACTTGACCTTCTCGTCTGAGCCGGCGCTCGCAATGACATTGAGTCCATCAGCCTTTGCTAGTTGAATGACGAACCTGCGGTAATGTTTTGTTAGTGAGTCTGCATACAAAGTCTATGTTGGCTTACGATCCGACAGGGCCTAAAGATGAGAAGGGGGAGAAGAAGATTAAATTTGAATATCGTCATTTGACATGGTCTGCTTACCTCCACCTGTGGTCACAAATACTGTTTCGCCTTCAGTCAAAGGTGAGCACCTATGTGAAAAGATGGGAGGTAGAGACAACAGGCTTACTTTCTTCGCATCAGCATATTCCTTCCAAGCAGTATATGCTGTTTGTCCTGGAATCAAGGCATGTTTAATTGATCAACACCTATTTGGCATCCGCGGATGACTCACCAGGCATGCCTGCTATGCCGACGTACACAGACCATGGTAATTTCTCTTCGTTCTTGAGGACTTTGAAACCCTGCATGTTGGGCTTGACAGAGTATTCTGCAAAATCTATCATCACAATGATATAGCTTGAATTCCATTTAGAGTTGATAATACACACTGACCCAAATATCCATAGATATGGTCGCCTGCTTTGACAGTAGCATCTTCAGAGCGTACAACGATTCCCACTCCATGAGATATCACTCTTCAAGATGCAATCCCATGTCCGTCCTAGATCAGAAACAAAGGAGAGTCGTAACAAAAAGTCGAACTCACGGTTTCCCCAGTTTGTAAGCGAGCTATACATCTGATCAGCTTGACTGTCATGCCATCATTAGTAGAAACAAAAGCTTACCGGATACGACGATACATCCCGCATTCTACCCCTGATATAAGGGTCAATAGACAATACGAGCGTTTTGAGCAGAAAACCGCCATGCAAGGGGACATTGTCGAGGTCGATTTTCTCGCTGTCGTCGTAAACGGTAGTTTGACCAGGTACGGGATAACCTGGATTCCCAATACGAATATGAGATCATTGCGTGGTGGACGAAATCGCACAATACCTTGTGGCACTGCATTAAATAGGAGACGACCGTTCTTTATAGGAGCCATTTCAGGAGTTTGAAGCGAGACGATGAGTGATAGAGACAATGATCGATATGGGTCCGACATCAGTGTAATGCCTCTATAAATGAAAGATTAGTAGGCGCCTGCCAGTGGAGTGCTTGGTAAACACTTTGCATAATTCTTACTAGTAATGAGCTCATTCGACCCCAATACAAGCTGATGCAACGTTGATGTCTCATCCACGATGACTTGCATATTTTTTTAGAGAGATAATGACTGTCATAACAGTCATTTGGATGCCGCATCACATAAATCAAGTAGTCACCTGTATTGACGTCAACATGAATGTCCTAGTTACGCACAGCCATGTACGCACTTTTGACTTTTACACTGATATCGACCGTAAATTGGGGACACTACAGTAGATGAAGACTGGAGAATGAAGTAGAACCATAAATATCAAAGTCCGCCGTCGCATCTGTACGCACTTTTGACTTCAAGTTATTGTAGACGTCTATTCTGCCACTTGTTTGTCTGATATCTCGCTGATGGGTATCCGAGTCATCAACGTGGCCTTCCAGTTTCGATTGGACAAGATTGGGCGTCAAGTGGTGGATAAATCAAGGTTCGGTGTTTAGCGGCCTGTAGCCACATCTGTGCACGCCATATATACTAGAGTATCTTCGCCCCCTCGCAGCCCTCGCGAAGTATCACCAGTAGGTCGCGAGATGAGTGTTCTGGAGTCCTCACATGCTGGTGATGTTGATGTCAAGAGCATGGTGGCGCGATCTCATTCTGTCGACGCTCGCAATGCTCAATTCAACCAAGTGCATGGTGATGACGGTTATCAAGTCAACAATGAGACCCATGGCCCTCAAATGAATCAACAATCAAACTCTGCCGACACTCGCTATGATAGATTCTTTGACAACGACATTCACGACCGTGGCTATGAAACCAACAACGAAAACCGTGGCCCTCATACGAATCAACCATCTGACTCTGTCGACGCTCGCTATGGTAAATTCAACGAAGTCTATGGAAATGGTTATCAAATCAACAACGACGTCCATAACTATCAAACAAATCAAACAACGATCAACCACTATACTCAAGATAACGGTATGATATATCTTCCCCGGCCTAAATGTAGTCTAATATAGCACAGTCGATAGTTTGGCTACCTTGAAAGAACTCCAGGAATTCGCAAACTGGCTGTCCCCTCTGAATTTTCGCCAAAGGCAGAGCGAAGTTCGTGAGACTTGGCGAGAAGGAACGGGAGGATGGGTGCTCGATGATGAGAGGTTCAAAGAGTGGCAGAGGGGAGATGTGAAAACGCTTTGGTGCCCTGGGATTCGTAAGTACACTATTATAATTGTGGTCTAAATTCTCCTTTCCCTATTATTCCGAATCAACTAGCGGGTGCTGGGAAGACCGTTCTTGCGTAAGTCTAGCCGCAAATCAATTAGATCCATTCTAAGCAGCTATCACATACATTTTTACTAGGTCATACATCATCAACCACCTCGAGAAGGACAAAAAGGACAAGGTGGCTGTGGTCTACGCTTATTGCAGCTATAATGATCGTTCAAGGCAAACTGCTTGTAACCTTGTTGCAAGCCTATTGAAACAGCTTGTACAAGACTTCCCCCTAACATTCGGGCGCATCAAAGATAAATTCAAACGCCATCGAGAACAAGACTTCCGTCCAACTTTATCCGAGGTTTGTGACGCGTTAAGGAACGAAATTAAACAATTCTCCCAGGTCTTCATCGTCGTCGACGCTTTAGATGAAGTTACCGAGGATCACGACACTCGTTCCGAGACGGTGCATTGTCTGCAATCTCTGAAAGGTAGTTTTCTAGTGACTTCTCGTGACATGTCATCGGTCGAGGCAGCGCTTCATGAAGCTCTTCGCATGGATATTCGTGCGCATGCAGACGATGTACGCAACTATATCACCGACCGCATTCACTTACAGACACAATTGGACGGGCTGTTAGGTGACGCGTTGAGAAGAGAAGTCATTGAGCGGCTGACAAAAGAGAGTCAGGGCATGTGAGTACCCCATAAAGCTAGTTTTATTCTTACAAGAACCAGATTTTGACATACTATTTAAGGTTTTTGCTATCTCGTCTACATGTGGATCTACTAGCACACAAACTTACTCGCAATGAGGTCCGACGCGCTCTTGATAATCTCCCCAAGGAGGTGGGAAGTGCTTATGATGAAACCATGAAACGGATAGATGAAGGCCGACATAGAGAACTAGCCAAGGCAGTTATGACGTGGATTGTTTTTGCCTCCAGAGCACTGTTTTTCATGGAGCTCCAGGAAGCTCTAGCCCTTTCAACTGGTCTGCGTAAGATCAGCGCTGATGATCTGATGGCGAAAGCGATCATAATGGACGCCTGCGCTGGCTTACTTGTCGTTGATGGGGATGTGTGTCGTTTGGTCCGTAAGTAGTCTGGTGCATGATTGAAACATTATTGCTTGAATCCGTTTCTATCAGATTACTCTGTTCAGGAATATCTCGTCAAACGTGGAGATTGGGCTTTCCCGGACCCCCAAGCGCAAATTGTTAAAATATGTTTCAACGCTCTCTCCATGTTTTCACCGAAAGAAGTACATCCCGGAGATGTTTCCCACAGTAAAGAGTTCGTTGCTTATGCTCGACAAAATTGGGGCCACCACACACGGAATATCGAGGAGACAATTCCGACGGTGATCCGCGAGTTTTTAGGTCACGACAAGAATGTTGAGAATGCCCTACAACCCATGTATGGTCCAGAATCTCGCTACTTTGACGGGGGTTCAGCATTACATTTGTGTGCCTACTTCGGTCTTTATCTGACTATCGATTACTTGTTGGGGAAAGGCGTTGTTGTCGATAGCAGAGACAACAAGAATAGAACACCGCTGTACGTTGCCGCAAGAGGAGGTTATGCCACAGTGGTGAAGCTACTGCTTGATCGAGGTCATGGCATCAATTTAAGGAATTATTATGATGCCACAGCACTTAGTACCGCAACTGCGAATGGGAGAATAGAGGTCGTTAAAGTGCTATTGGCAGAGCATGACGTACAAACCGATCCGAAGAATATGTATGGTTCAACACCGCTCTTGCTAGCAGCTAGGGAAGGATATGTGGAGGTTGTCAAGCTGTTGTTGGCAAGGGATGAAGTGGAGGTGAACTCGAAGGATAATGGCGGTTGGACGCCGCTCATGCAAGCAACTTCGGGAGGGCACGTGGAAATCGTCAAGCTGCTGTTGGCAAAGGACGAAGTAAAAGTGAACTCAAAAAATAATGACGGTTGGACATCAATCATGCACGCAGCCTACAGTGGTCATGTGGAGATCGTCAAGCAGCTGCTGGCAAGGAGCAAAGTGGATGTGGATGTAAAGAACAATGATGGTTGGACACCGTTGTCGGTAGCAGTTCGCCATGGGCAAGTGGAGATCGTCAAGTTGCTGTTGGCAAGGAACAAAGTGGATGTGGATGCAAGGAACAATCACGGTTGGACACCACTCTCGCAAGCAGCCTCTCATGGGCATGTGGAAAGTATCAAGCTGCTGTTGGCGAGGGGCGATGTGGATGTAGATGCAAAGAACAATGATGGTTGGACACCGCTCTCGGTAGCAGCTCGCCATGGGCAAGTAGAGGTCGTCAAGCTGCTATTGGCAAGGAACGAAGTGGATGCGAATGCAAAGGACAATCATGGCTGGACACCACTCTCACAAGCAGCCTACAATGGGCATGTGGAGACCGTCAAGCTGATTCTGGCAAGAGACGAAGTGGATGTGGATGCAAAGAACAACGACGGTTGGACACCGTTCATGCAAGCAGCTTTGGGGGGACATGTAGAGACCGTCAAGCTGCTGTTGACAAGGGATGAGGTGGATATGGATGCAAAGAACAATGACGGTTGGACACCGCTCTCAGGGGCAGCTAACAATGGGCACCTGGAGATTGTCAAGCTGCTGTTGGCAAGGGACGAGGTTGACGTGAACTCAAAGGGTAAAAGCAACTGGACACCGCTCTCGAGAGCGGCTTGCCAGGGGCATGTGGAGATCGTCAAGTTACTATTAGCAAGGAAGGAAGTGGACGTGGAATCAAGGGACAATGAGGGTTGGACACCGCTTTTGGGAGCAACTTACCAGGGACACGTGGAGATTGTTAGGCTGCTGTTGGCGAGGGGCGGAGTGGATGTGAACTCGAAGCAAATTGACGGTCAGACGTCGCTCGCTTTGGCAGCTAACAGGGGGCATGTGGAGATCGTCAAACTGCTGTTGGCAAGAGATGGAGTTGGTATGGACTCAAGGGAGGATGATGGTTGGACGCCGCTCACGCAAGCAGCTTGGTCAGGACACGTGGAGATAATCAAGCTTCTGCTGGAGAGGGATGAGGTTGATGTGAACTCAAAGGACAATGACGGTCGGACGCCATTCTGGTATGCCGCTCAAGAGGGACGGGTGGAGGTTGTAAGGCTAATGTTGGCCATTTATGGTGTGGATGGCGACTCGCAGGACCACGAAGGTTGGACGCCGCTCTCACGTGCAGCGCACCAAGGGAATGCCGAAGTTGTCGAGTTATTATTGGCGAGGCACGATGTAGACTCGCACAAGAATTGTGATTCCACTCCACTCACTCTTACAGATAATCAAGGGAAAGCACAGTCCCCACTCTCCGAGACATGCATGCCACTGGCTTTCTCGCTCCGACTTCCATACCGCAAAGAATTAGCCCGTTTGCTTGTCAAGAATTTTGTAAACTTCAACATCAACTGGAAAGATCAGAGTGGTTTTACACCTCTATGGATAGCGACCTGGCATGGTGATGAAAAGACGGTGGAATTTCTATTGACTTGCGGCAGGGTTGACGTGAACATGTTTCCGACGGAGAGCAGTGTCCCGCCATTGTGGGCTGCAGCATACCGTGCTTTTAGCGAAATGGACGAGATCTTGGACACGAGTTCTTCCATCTATCAAGGTGTGAATAGCAATGACATAAACGGTGGAAAGAGGTGGGCTCCGACGACTGTGATGTTACCAGTAGTTTTCTAACTGATGATATTTATTACAGCAACGACCTTCAGAGCGTTAAAAATGCCAGTCTCCAGCAAGGGAATGAGGCAGTATTGCGACTACTGCTTGAAAGATCTGATGTTGATGTGAACTGGAAAAACAAGAACGGGGAAACACTACTTTCCGTAGCAGCGAAAAATGGATCCAAATCTCTCGTAAAAAAGCTGCTTTCTAGACATGACATCGACGCAAACTTGCAAGATAATAAAGGAGACTCACCGATGCACCATGCAGTACATTTTGGGCATAAGGAGGTGGCCGCTTTACTTGAGGCACGGGATGACGTTGTACCCAATTTGAAAAACGTTTTGGGTCAAACCCCCTGCAGCGTCGTGTCACAGGACAGTGATGAACAGAAACTGCTGGATGCTTGTACACAAGAGGCAATGGTGGAGCTTCTTCCTGTTCAAGCCAGCATTCCCGTTGACTCAGACGTTGACAATGGATCAATGCCTTTGATGCTTCCGGCAGTGAAGCCGATTGAACAGCAACCCCCCAAGGCGAGTCATGAGAATGAAGTGACAGCACTAGTTGAAGGTCCGAAGGAGCTTGTGTCAAGATGCAAGATGATCCGGAAGATACGTCAGGGACTGGTTAAACTACCTTGGATGAAATGATGCCAGAAACCACGAAATAATACACTGAAATGATGTGTGAATATTAATAATAGCATGGCCCTCCGGGCAGACCTGGTCCCACACAGGTGTGTTACATTACCAGCCTATCATACAGATCGATTCCCCAAGTACTACATCATTGAAGTATGTGGTTTTACAGAATCATTTGTGTTATATTGAGTGGCATAGTGTACTACCATAAGGAAACGACGGAGGCTACACATGTTGTCAGTGAAAGACAAGTAGAAAAGTGGCATGGAAATATTAGTACTAAGTCAAATGTAGGAACCATGTCCCTTGCAGCCATTAATGATTGATCACACACTTTTGACTGAGTAGTAGCAATGACACTGGCACAGCAAAGATACATGTAGATGTAGGTGCTATCCATCCAAATGGACACTAAGAAAGTGCAGCACATTCTTCACCTTTAAACACCAATAAAAAGATTCTTAAGAGTACCACTGTCTCAAACAAGCTTGTAATTTCCCCTTCAACATCTTGTTCAGATTTGCAAACAATATGTCAACAACACAACCTAATTACAGCCAGTACTCAGACACAACCCAGGATGAGGCGATTCTCAGGTTGTGAACTGTCAAGTTATACAAAATAATATAAGTTTAACTGGCTTGCTAAAGCTAAGACATTTAAACATGTGGTGCAAACTTTCTGTATGAGTGGCTGCACATATTTGTAATCAAGGAATTGGTGAAGTTCTATGTATGATTGTTATAATCTAACACAGGTGAAGTAGAGAAATCAACATGTAGCAGTATACATAGAAGCATACCAAAAGTCAGGCGACACCAAGCCGCCCAAAGAAAAAACAAACAAGTACAAATTGGAAATTGGTCCTAAACAAGTTGTGACAAGGAATGTGATGGATTGAACCTGGTCACTGTGGGACTAGGAATAGAGGTACACTCGCTACCAAGAAGCTTGTCCACCAAAGAGCTCTCTACCCTAACCCCGTTCAAATATGTCCACTGGAGTCCGGCCCTGCAAAACTAATTTTGGGTCTCAAGAGTTTCACCCTTAAGGGGGATACTGTCATATGCATGCCACAGGCCATGGTTTCTGGACTTCCAAAAAGTCAGAGATCCTCAAGTCCAAACTCCCAAATCTTCGATATCCTTGGAATTACACTCCCCATGATCTGCCACTTAGTATAGCCCTGTACCCCACCCCCACATGGTACTATGGATACCTGCTCTGATACTCCTGCACCGGACTTTTAGTCCGACATACATGTTCTTCGCACATTATTCCTCATAGACTCTGTAATTTAGACCTTATGGTACACTCCCCTCACATACAATTTCCCCTTGCTAGAAAATTGGAACTCTGTACCTACATTATGAGTTACTCCTTACAACCTCCAATCCCTCTAATAGTATATAAGCCATAGCTCCTGTACTCTGTTCCTGCAGTTCAAATATCAACTAGTTCCTCCCACCTTTATTCAAGTCTCCTTCTAAGTTTTCTGGTCCTTCTCTAAAGGACCTTTACTCCACCCCACTCCACCTTTTAATTTCTACTCTCACCTGTTCACTCCGTGGAGTTAGGGACTAAGGTCCACGGAAGGGTCTAGCGCACAAGCTAAGCCAACTCCCTGTTACGATAACACAATTTTCGGACCTTTCCTTCTTTTTCATTCTCCGCTTTAACCTTGTACACTTTAGCTTTTACACAGGGTGCCACGCAGCACTTCCCCTTTTGTTCAAACTCCTCTTTCTCGCGCCGCATTGCCTTCTTCTCATTTTAGATACAACTCTCTCACACAGTGAAGCTGGTCATGCGGGCTAGGCCCCATGACATCATCAGCCACTGACTTTATCAACTGTACAGTACATAAGTACAAACACTCTGTATTAGTATATATACCCCAATAAATCCAGGAGACCCCCTAGCGAGTCCTCCTATTGTATACCAACAAACTCTCTGCAGCTTAAGGGGTAACCACTCCATCAACATCTTCTTTATAGTGTGTTCTTGTGTGCGCCAGAGTAACTAACTCTTGGTTGTTACATTAGGACTCGCTCCTCTACTCTCTCACACGTTGTGCAAAAAGTTTCACTGGGCACCTGGACTCCAGGGTGAAGGAGATTTGGTTATTGGTTGGGAATATCCCACATAGCAGATAGGTGCGCTCTTCGCGACGGCCTTGTAGTGCTTTGGGAGAAGAACCAAAACCTTTGATACGCGGCCCCCAGCGTTAAGGGGAGTACTTAGCTCAGCAGTCGGTGTGGAACCACTGTTGATTAGAATTAAAATACAAAACTTTACTTTCTCTTTCCTCTGACCAAGCCGGGCACTTGCCTCCGCCAGTTGGAGAAGGGTTGACAGCTTAACAAGCGAACCACCCCCTGACAACCGTTCGGACCAGGGTTTAATACTATAACTGTTATATAAATTTTCAAAATACTATAGTGTGGGTAGTCGGAGATTGAGATCCGATACTCAGCTGGGAAGAGGTAGATCCGCAGATAGCAAGCGGGGACCCCCAGTTACCTTTTTTTTATTACTTTACAAAGAGAACAAGTCGACATGTCATTGCAACCAGATATCAATGCCCTGCTGCACAACATGCGTGCGCAGATTCAGGCGTTGACCACTCAACTCGCCGAGCTGCAGGCAAATCCCCCTGCGGCAAACCCCTCGGTAGAGAAAAAGTTCAACAAGAAAGTCGAAGTCGTCGCTGACCCTGGCACCTCCAAAGGAGACAGAGCACGATTTGCCAAATGGTGGATCAAACTCCAGATTTGGGTTTAGGCAAACTGGGACGCATTTGCCGATGACTTTGAGGTAGCCACTGCGGTGCTATCTCGACTAAAGGACCTGTGGCAGGTCGATACACCCAAGTAAGGCTTCAGGAGTGCTACACCGCGGGAGTGTGGCCCACCTGGGACAATCTCAAAGTAGAGATCAAAAAATATTTCAAACTGCAAGCTGAGCGTGACTGGGCGTGTCAGCAAATCTGTTCCTTCAAACAAGGCAACATGAGGACAGATGATTTTGTAACCCGGTTCCTGGCCCTCTCCATCCAAGGGGGTCTTGGTAATGACCATGCAGTAGAGCTGCTGGAATGCAATGTGAACCCCCACATTGCAGAACAGCTTTATCTGCAGGATATGAGAAACGAGAACCTCTCTCAAGCAGCAGAGGAGGTTCCAAAAATAGGTAGGGCCATAGAGCTCTACAAAATGCACCAAGGTGGCGAGACCACCAAAAACAACCAATCCCAGAGGCGCCCTGGGTCATCAAACCATCATAATCACTCTCACGGGTTCAAGCCGTTCGGGCTGCAGCCAGGATAGGGTGCCCCTATGGATATTGGCGCGGTCCAAGGCGGACAGATGCACAGATTCAAGGGCAACTGTTACAACTGTGGCCAAGAGGGACACATGTCCCGAGATTGCAGAAACGGGGTGCAGGCCGCTCAACAAAAAAATTAATCAAGGGCGCCAGGTGCGCCAATTAGAAACCAAAAAACCGAACGATCGGCTCAGCTCTTTGGCCGGTCGTTCATACAACAAAATCTGGGCCTTTTTCTATGACCAACAGGTCAATGAGATGAAGGCTCAGGGAAAAGAGTTCGGAGCTTAGGTCACTTGGGTGCCTTTGCTCCTATGAACAACGAAGTAAACCACAACAAGGTGGCCCCTGCTCCGGGGTGTTGCACAAGCAATAAAGGAAAGACAGGGATGGCTCCCCAATTTGTAAATAGATTTCTAAATTTGTTATCTGAAGTATGTACTTGTATGAAGCATTGTGACTGTAATATTTATAATACTACCACTGCACCAGTGTCTCCCTTGGAGCGTGGCCCCGGCGAGACAAACAATAGGGTGCTTGATTCTGGTAAAAATAAAATAGAAAAACATGTAACTTTCGATACCTCTTCTTCTTCGTTGGAGCCACCCTTTCCCAAAATCCCAAGGCGTGTGTTGATGCGCACATATTTATTCCAAAAGGAGATCTGTTTAGACATTGGTGTGGAAAACCTTGCCCGGGGCATAGTACACCCAACCAGTGCGCTGCTTGATTCAGGCGCTAACGGAATCTTCATAGATCAGGCCTGGGCAGAGCAAATTGGACTCCCCCTTGTAAAATTAGATGTATCTATTCCCGTTTATAACGTTGACGGTATGCTGAACGCGGGTGGCTGCATCATGCACAAATGTTCTTTTGTGGTCGAATACCAAGGACACAGAGAACGAGTCACCGCCGAAGCTACCCAACTAGGGAAGATTAATTTAATCTTGGGCTGGACCTGGCTATTTAAACACAATCCTGAGATCGACTGGCAGACAGGGGTTGTCACATTGTCACGTTGCCCTCAAGAGTGTGTAAACTTGGGTAAACCAAATCATGTCCGTTGTCATGCACCAAAGTTGATTGGTAGCATGGACAGGTGTCAATAACGAAGCGAATATTCAAAAAGACTCGCCTTTGCGCCACACAGGCACAGTGCCACGTGGAATAGTAATTAATATTGCCCTTTTTGAACTTGTGGCTGATCAGCACCACCTCTATTAGGCAATCCAGTCACGCTCACCTTTGCTTTTCCATCCGGTACTTTCCGCATTTCGGCATTTCGGCAAATTTTCGCGTCGCCACTGGCTACACATTGCATTGCGCCCTCGCTTTTGTCGTTTCCCTTACTCCCCTTCCTTTGCCTAGCCCCACCATGGGCCCCTTCCTCTCCTTTTTATTCTCACCCGACGGTCGTTTCTGGGTCCCCATTTTAGTTCACCTCCTCGTCACCTCCACCCTCCTCCTCCTCATCTTCTTTGCACCCCCACCATTTCTGATGTCACCACTTCCTATCCGCTTCCGTCGCCGATCCGTTGACTACCACGTGCCACTGCTGATATCAGCAAAGCCCCGGCGGCCGGTCCAAATAGGGCAACAGGTCCATCTTCATGACGTCGATCTGCCATCATATACTATCAAAACATCGGTCGCTCGTCTTGCCTGGTTGGAGCGTGGGTGGGTAGTTTTTGAGCTGGAGAAGGTTCATCCCCTTGCGTCGCCCATGTTCATCGCTGTCCCATTCACTTGGGTACACTTATCATTTGTCCATCGTCTTTGCTACAGCTACACCTATCACACGCTGCCTGGGACTCACTTGTTCCAAGTTGGAACTACTCCTCTCCCTCCCTCGTTTGATCAGGTGGTCCAACACAACCAGTCCATTGGTAAGGCCATGGAACTGTCAGATTTGGACTAGGTGGTGGACCGGTGGCTCCAGTTTCTTTTTTTCAGCAGAACATTCATTTACAGTGCGATTATTTTTGATTTTTGAATCATTTTTATGGACACATATTTTTTAGAATGCCTGACTGACAATAAAGGAACTGTGTTGATACTGATAGTGTTTTGCCTTGCCCTTTTTTTTTTACTGCATCTTCCCATGACATCATGATTTTCCTGCTCTCTTTTTGCTATTGGACTTTACTTTATGGCTGTACAAACCTGTGACATTACTCACAGCATTCATTGTTCTATCCCTTTCTTTTCTTTTTTTGACAATCTTATCCTGTACTACCTATGCAGGATTCGTCAGCATACATTCCTTCCTTCATGTTCTTTCTCATTCTTTTTGCACAGCTATACTGTGCATAGCCTACTTTTCTTTTACTATATAAACCCCTGTATTTTACCTTGTAAAAAAACAAGAACTCCAATCCAGACTTCTTCTCTACTCTCAAGTTCACTACTCTGCTACTTTGTGATCCAGTGTGGTCACAACACTTCCCACTTCTACCACTGTTAACTGCTGTCATCATCACTTCCCACTTTTGAAGTCCTTGTCATCCCTCTCGATTAGAGTGCTTCTGAGCACTACAGTTTGTGCGTCACGAGTCTGCTATCACTGGGAACTTTGTCATATAGCTGTCTCATGTTACTAGGGCTACGATTAGCAAGGTATGAG